GCCGCGCTCGGTCTCCGGCGACGGGAGCGTGGGGTGGATGTGGTGCTGCGGCGGCGACGAGGAGGATGGTGGCGAGAGCCGGGGGTGGTGGTGGTGGTCCTCGTCCTCGCCGTAGGAGGAGGAGGAGGGTGGAGGAGGGTGGTGACTGTGCTGCTGGTGCTGGTGCGCGTGGATGTGAGCCGTGGAGGTGATGGGAGGAGACGCCGGCGCAGGTGAGGTCGACGAGGTCGTCGACATGATGGGCCGGTCCCCTGTTGGTTGTGATATATATCTTTCAAGTCTTTGCTCGTTAATGCCGTGAGTCGGTTTTCTGGCCCTCTTCTCGCCTCAGCTCGTTCCTTTTTCCCGGGTCCCTGTTTTTTTTTTTCTCTTTCCCAGCCTTGATGGCCCCCCTCTGTCCTGCGTCTATGCGTTGTTCTTTGGATCCAATCCAATACGAGTGGGCTGCCAACTAATAGTAGCTGGGGTTTGACACGTCTGACCTGATGATGAGATGGAAGGCGACTATGCTGGATGATGATGATGACGATGGTTGCTTCGGGGAGCGCGGAGCTGACTTCATCGCCCTTCGACCACACACGACGGGCAGCATGTACCTAGGCAGTTATGACGACTGCCGTGTGTTTTTTCGCGGACATCTGTTTGGCCCATATGTGTCTATATGCACGCTGCTGTACAGAACCCCGGCAGGTGATCAAGATGGGAGTGTGGGTGGGGTGCTTGCGAGGATCCTCCAACGAGCATTGTGAAATGCTGGGGCACTTACTTGCATGAACCCTGTAACAGTCAATATGCAGTGCTCCCTACCGGCGCCTTAATTATCTGTCTGCTCTGCATAGTACATGCAGCTGGATGTAGGGATAAGTCACGCAGCCTGCAGCCGGTTGGGGACGTGTTGTTGCGCCCACCACGACCCCTATAATGCAAGGATGAGTCGTGGAAGAGACCATTGGAAGCTAGAGCAAGGCGAGCCTCAAACAAGACGAATGGCTTTAGCGTATGCATGATGGGCCCTCTGCATGAGAATGGTGAAGAAACAATCTTATCTTTGCTTCACCGACGTTCTTTGCCGCACACCTATAACTTCTCAGCCATGCGTGCGCATCTTAGTTCCCTGTAGTATTACATACCTGCCTACATGATAGTCTAGGTGCCCATTTATGGATTCGGATGGGACCTTGCCCTACCAACGGGCGCACATCACACATCTGCGTGTGTTGCTGTTGGGTTGCATCCACAACACACCTAGACTGGGTATATGTTCAGAAACAGCAGCCCGGAGAGTAAAGGTGGTGGCCTGACCGTGTTCTCTAACAAGTCGAAAAGAGATCTGGGAGTTTCCTATTGATTAGCTGGCCAAATCCCGTTTTCACCTCCCATCAGGAGACGACAAATTGTGGTTGGCGATTTGGAGCTACGTTGATAAAGCATTTATTGCGTTGGCGTCCTGTGACGTGTCAAAAATCCCCTAATTCAGCTACCTACCTACATAAATTTAATACTATGTAATGCTGGCTATCCATTCACCTGCCCATCAGTCCTCTTCTCTACTTCCACGCGTCCATGCTTTTTATCAATCGTTGTCTCGTTGATGTGTCATGCCGTCCACGTCCCACGCTACAACCCCATTCTTCCCCAATGATGCATTAAATTAACCCAACTTCAGACGTCTCTATTCGCCAGCGATAGAGATTTTCCTGTTCAGCTGCTCCTTTTTGGCCTTTTTGGTATGTAGGTAGGCAATATGCAAATGACAACTGGACACAAACAACAAGCCCAGAAAATTGAAACAAGAAGAGACGAATAGAAAATCCAATCCAAAGCGCCCGAGCCATCCCACAACGGTTGAGGAAAACCAACAGATAAGTACTACTTGGCAGTACAAATTAAGAAAAAGAAATTAGATCCCCTGCAGGTTTTGCATGCCTTTCGAAGACACACCAAAGCATGCTTCTAGAAGGCTGACAGCACAACCCCCACATGTCTCCCGTGATCTGTATCGCTTGATAAACAATGCATTAAATCCAATAACTAGCCAGGGCCACTCATCAGAAAACGCCTCGCCCCCCATTCTTTCGGAACGGTCCGGCACCACCAGAGGCTGGGCTCATGATTGAAGGAATGCCGTACTCCCCTTCAGCAGACGATTGGGAAGAGACAGACGAGAACGAGTTCAGCCCCGAGTGTCCCTTCCGCTGAGGCATTGTTGGCCGTGACATGGAAATGCCAGGATTGGCCATTAGAGTATCTGCTCGGTCAAAGACGTTTCCGTGGAATGCAGCCGCAAACGAGGTGTTCTGCGGCGTCTTTGGCATCGTGGCCTGCATTGCTGGTCCCAACGCTGCGCTCTGGGGTGTAATTGGAACCTGAATGGGTGACATCGGTTCCGACCCTCTGGAGAGTGTGTGCCCAGGGTGAGAGTGGTGGCCCCCGTTCACACTAGATGACTGCAGGAGGTGGTGCCAAGGAGAGTTAACAATAGTTCCAATCGTTTCCTTCATGCTCTGGTGAATAGGTCGCAACCGAACCCTCGTGTCATGCGGGAGCACAACTCCAGCCGGTGCCTGCTTGATTTCCCAGGCCAACTCTGTCCAAGACACAACGAAGCTACTGCATAAGCTCCAGAAACTGGACTGAGACCTGATCCCAGGTTCTTTCAACTTGATCAGAGACAAGCGGGTTCTCATCACCTCCGTTTGGCTGATGGTATTGTTGCACATGGCAATAAGCCCCTTCCAATTTCTTATTAGTGGAGGTGCGGTACCCTTCTGCACCGCGTTTCTCAACCCCCCCATTAATTGAACATTAAAATTTGGTAATGTGTGCAGCACAATATCCGAGGATCTTTGCAGAGATAGAAAGATTTTATCAAACTGCGCGTCCTCCTCTGTTGAGGCATCAGAGCCAAGGCCGCGACTGTTGATAGACGCAAACGACTCTCCGGATCGCGGAGTGGCAGACGCAATTGTGGCAGTGCGTGTCCCATTGCCATATGGTGAAGGCAGTGGGACATTTGTCGCGACCCTCAGGTTGGCTGCAGGATTAATTACTAAGGTTCCATTGCGGCCTCTCAAGGGTGCTGGTTTCAGAGCCTTTGAGGGAACAGAAGGTTCTCTCATGTGTGGCCGAATTGTTAATCCCCCATTCAACGGCTCCGTAGACGATGACCTTTGTTTACCGTCTTCGGCGCTGACAGAAGACATTGTAACCCGAAGCTCCATTATGCTATTATAGATCAACATCAGAAGAGTCCGAATATATCGGGGGTCTCCATAGTCGACGAAAATATCAATATTGTCGGCAAGTAGAGTGCAAACGTGTCCATATGCGCTCACCAACGTCTGGCATGCCCGATGGACCGTTTCGTTTTCCCTCGTGAAATGCTCATCCTCGTCAACCAGCCACTGGTCATGTTTTTGAATTGCTTGCTCCAGCTCTTCGACGTGCGAGTTCGTATTGTAGAATACAATTTCGAGGCTAGATCGCTTAGAGCCGTCGTCGGCCAGGCTCATCAGCGACTGTATTATTGGGTGAACCTGGAACACCGAGTAGAGAATGCCTTTTGCAATTTCGATGACTGGATCATACACCTTGGACTCCCGTCTGCGTTCAGGAAGAATAGATAGCCGACGCACATATACCGGCCGCTGAGGATATGGATCAGTAGGGGTCCCAGGGTCCATAGCACCGTGCATGGCCGACCCATGGCTCAAGCCCCGATAATGGCTGAATCGATTGCTCGCCTGGGTCTCATCGAGTGTTACCAGATCCGTCGGTTTCTTAGAAACAACACCCATGCGCCGGTTTCGACTTTCGGATCGTTCCGAACGCAGATTAGTTTCAGAATTGCTGCGAACACGTTCACTCGCGGTTCCGAGGGTGAGGGGCATCACACCAGGTCGTCGTATGGCCGTGTTCTGCTGGGACAACCCACGGTAATGAGACCGTTGAGGGATGGGGGGGATGCGGCTGGTGCTTGGCGAGCGGCTATCTGAGGGATCTGCGCCATTTACTTTGATGGGAAACCGACCGCTGACCCTTCGTTTGAGAGGAGCTCGAGGCGTTTCGGTACCCTCACTTGATTCATCTCCCGCTTGATCATTCTCTAGTCGCCCGGTTAAGCTATATTGTTTCAACCATCGCTTCATTTGTGCGGTCACCGCAAGCTCCACATCGTTGTCCCGGATCGTGCCGTCTCCAACTGGGCTTGGGGCTTGAAGTAAAAGGGCATCCTTTGGAGGGAAAACCAGAGGGTTCCCTTCGAATTTGAGTGCTTGCAAGGACGTCATATCACCAATGCTCAGAGGAAGCTCCCTAATTCTATTTTTCCGAAGAGAGAGCATCTTTAAGCTAGTAAGCTTGGCAATCTCTGGAGGCAAATACTGTATCTGATTTCGACCAAGCTCAAGTACTTCCAAGGCTTTCAGGTCGCAGAGCTATCCACTAATGTCAGACGATGTGAGTTCAGCGTGCTTTGAGAGGATTCTTACCGTCATAGGGAATTCAGAAAGCTGGTTGGCCCTAAGGTTGAGGTATCGCAAAGATGTGCATTCGGAAAATCGAGCGGGCAGTGCCGTCAGTTGATTGTGCGCCAGAATTAATCTGGGCAATGCAGTCAGCAAACACTTCTGTGAAACGATTCCTCGATAACATTAGGATATACCTTGCCAAATCATTCTTCATGATATCAACCACTTCTTCCGGCAGCTTGTGGATATTCTTTCGACTCAGATCGATGGTAACGCCAGGCTGCAGACTCGCGCTCACAGCACTAGCCTCGGCAACCTGGTTCTCGCTCTCGAGAGCTGTTCGCATAGCCTCGCGTGCGAGTGATAAGACGTGAGAGGAATTCATTCCGTTCGCGACCGCCAGGTTCGAGCTCGAAGCAGATTTGCGCATGGTAGGAATAGGAGGATGTTGGGGCCCGTTGGAAGTAGCCGCGGAGTTCGGAATAGGTCGACGTCCTGATAGTGGATTTTCAGACAAGCTTCGCAAGACCGGCGCGGCAGGGGCGCCGTTGGTTCGATCAAGTCTTTCCACAGCCATCGTGACAGTGGTAGATCAAGGCCTCGGGAGAGAAGGTGGAGGTGTATCAGGAGTACGCCGGGCCAGCTCGGAACTCAAGTTCCTTTTCGCAGAGAAGAGCTTATGTTCGGGCGCTCTGAGAGTTTCGTTCAGCTCAAGGGCTCGCTGAGAATGGCCTGCAAATCCTTCAATCGGCGGGCTGGGATCAGTTTAGATGCCAATCAAGGCTAGGACGGCTTAGTTGACAAAGTACGTGCGGTCATTGTGTTTGGTAATGCAGAGTCGCGGAAGTCCCGGGATCCGAGAGGATATCCCTCGAAAGATGCGATCGGTGGGAGCGGTTATGAACCGTGGTCAAGCCCTTGGTCACAGGCTGCCTTGTTTGTCTGCTGGCTTTATCACTGGACATAAGACGACGTCCGCAAAGATTCGCTTGCCAATCAACGGCGCGACAAGCGGCGTCCGAGTCAGCGTAGGCAGTGGATGACCACCCCGCAAACCGAATGCCGTCGAGGAGAAGGTCTCGGAGGTGCGCGCAAGGACGAGGCTCGCAGTTGATGTGCCTAGCACCCAGTCGTCGGCGAGGGCGGTCGACAAGATGGGGGAACTTGGATCGGGTAATGGATGCCTGAGTACAACTTCGAGGTACCGTTTCTTGTCACCCAATCGCCCCCTCCGCTTCCCACTAGCGCACGGTCCCTGACTCCTTGGACCCCAGTTAAGGGGAAAATACAGTGCGGAAGCGCTGCCTGCACTGGCGCCCTGTTTTCTTTTCCTTCCATTTTTCTTCTTTCGCCCCGGGACCAGGCGCATCCCGCCACCGGGTGGACTGACACGGCGCTCAGCTCGCCCCTAGAAGGACAGTGCGAGTCGCGTGCCGCTACCACGATGGAGCGTCGACGCTGGTTGGGCTGATCGCGCACCACCGTCAGACCCTGCCACCCCCTACTGGCCTACCAGCTTTTGCGGGCCTTGACTGAGGTGCAGGTGGTGCTAAAAAGGGCCTTAATTGTTGGTGGGTTGGGATCACAAAAACCAATCGCCGACTTGTCTGGCTCCTGGTCCAACACTACCTAAGTACCATATCAACATATAAGACAAAAAGGCAAAGATCCCGATCTGGAGAAATTGGAGCAAAAAAAGACACCGGACGAAGGTAACACCAAGATTAAAAGTCTTGTGCGCTAACCAATTGCGCCAGCCGGGCTACGGCTGTTGATTTCTTCTTCATGCATCACGCTTATAACGGAACCTCAGGCTCGGAAAGCTTACTAACTTTTCTGCTTGGTCCAATTGGTTCCATACTTCAAAGTTGACTTGGACTGGACACACCCAGCTGTTGATTGTCGGAGCTGATCATGCCGCCGAAGCAATCGAGTCCTACCACGCAGTATGACATCGACTCCGCTCTACGATGCCAATTTCACAAAGAGCGTTTTAGGTGAGTCTTTCTCGGCGCAGCGAAACCTGCAATACTCAAATTGGCCACACACTAACACGTATGCAGGCCTTCTCAGCGTGAAATCATTGAAGCCACACTCAGCGAGCATGATGTCTACGTGCAAGCTGCAACCTCTTTTGGGAAAAGCCTGTGCTTTCAGCTGCCTGCAGTGATCACACCTGGGCGTAAGTGCTCTCACTCTTCCTTCCTTCCCAATCAAAGTCTTTACCAGGTGCGAGGGTGCTTATCGTTAAATGTAAAGTAACGATTGTGGTCTCTCCGCTGCTGAGCCTCATGGTAAGCTGCCTACTGTCACATATTTCATTCAGTTCTTGGTCTTCTAAACTTTACCCTATCTAGACCAATCAAGTGGAAGCCCTAAGAAATTCCGGAATTGCTGCAAGCTCGCTAAACAAGGACACCTCGCCGTCTGAGAGGAATCGCATCCTATCTGACCTTGATACGGGACAACCACAAACCAAACTCCTGTATGTCACGCCAGAGCTTTGTGCGAAATCCCACTTCAGGGAGCGTTTGCAGGCCCTATATAGAAAACGGCAGCTAGCAAGGATCGCGATCGACGAAGCCCATTGTATCTCCGAATGGGGTCATGATTTTCGCACCGACTTTCAGAAACTCTCTTGGTTTCGAGAGGCCTTCCCGAGTGTCCCCATCATGTGCTTAACGGCAACCGCCAATCAGCAAGTACGGAAAGATATTATGTCTGCCTTGCGTCTAGACGCTTCACCAGACAAGACGAAAATGTTCTTGATGAGCCCGCAACGAAGCAATCTTCACATGGAAATTCGATTTACCAAGGATGAAGATGGTGAAAATGGCCGTATCGCTGACTTTCTCCGATGGATCCGTAGTGTCTACAGCCGCCGCCGTGCTGATGACCGAATTGCAGAGCTCGCACAAATCGGTGAACGCCCTGAAAGCGTACCCGGGATAATATATACCGTCTCCCGTGACGAGTGCGAGAAGCTCGCATCCGCCCTTCGAAACGAAGGCATTGGCGCTCAGCCGTTCCACGCCAAACTTTCCCCCAACGTCAAGAGCGAGACGTTGTCCCGGTGGATCGAAAATGAGCCCGGCTATGATGTTATCGTAGCGACAACGGCCTTTGGCATGGGTATTGACAAAGAAAACGTCCGATTTGTTGTGCATTGGCGGTTACCGAAATCGTTTGAAGGCTACTACCAAGAGGCTGGGCGCGCTGGGCGCGACGGGAATGCCAGCTACTGCTTCCTATACTATAGCCGCGAAGATCTGGAGCGCAACACTCGCATGATACGCAGTGATTCGAGGGACAAGGACAGCGGGACGATGAATGCGAGGCTTCGGAGTCTACAGGCCCTCGCCCTATACTGCGAGAATATAACAGAGTGCCGGCATTCCGTAATTTGCAGCTACTTCGGCGAGCGCCCAGTGTATGAGTGTGACTATGCCTGCGATTTTCACAAGGATCCGCACAACCTGAGATCCAGATTTATGAAGGGTCTTGCCAGCGAGGAGTTTGTCAGTACACAGGCTATGCAAGGGACATATGATGATGCATATTATGACTCTTGAAACAATTATTCATTCAACATAATAGACATTGGTGGTATAATGGAGGGTTGTTGTTGTATATGCAGATAATAAACAAGGGTGTTGATAGAGTGCAGTCCGCGCGGGGTCTCCCATTCCTCAACCGAATAGAACAGTAATTTCCAACCGGTCGTCCATATGTGAAATGCAGCATGCTTAAACATTTATCTGATGTGATCATCTCCGGTCAGACACATCAAGTGGGCCGAAACTTTCTCCTCGGCCCGTGCCTCCCGATAAGGAAATCCAGCTCCTCGCCCAACTTTAAATGCTACGCTATTAAAGCCAACTCTCTCATCCATCCGAGGCGGGGAGACTTCCTGCTCCTCGGAAACTCCAAACCCAGGCAGTTAAAGCAGCAGGCAAGTCCAGCATCTACCATCTCTCGCCTACCATGGCCACCAATGCCGCAGAGCAGCGCCGCCAGCGCATCATCAAGCACATGAACGACGACCACCTCGAATCCCTCCAGCTCTACCTCCAGGTCTACTCGGGCGTCTCGGAAGCCTCCGCCAAGTCGGGCTGCGAGCTCGTCGACGTGTCCCTCTCACACCTGCTCATCCGCACCGGCGACGGCAAGGAGCACACGGTCCAGTTCGCCCCGCCGCTCGACGCCTGGGGCGAGATCCGACCCCGCCTCGTGGAGATGGACGCCCTCGCCAGGGCCAAGCTCGGTATCGCGCCCCTCGACAGCGGCGACCCCGAATCGATTGTGATAACCGAGTGGCTGGCCCCCAGAGGGTTCGACGCCGTCGTCCTCGGGTCCATCTGCTGGTACTTCTTCTCCTACTTCACGCTGCCGCTTCTCGTGCCGGGAACCTGGGGGTGGAAGGTCCTGGAGGCCGTCTTCCCTGGAGGTCCCGCCTGGTACTGCTGGATAGTCAAGGCCATCTTCTGGCCTGTTGTCGGGATCCACACCGCCGAGGCCTTCTTCTTCGACAGGACGCGCATGGTGAACAACGGTGTGCAGCGGTTCAGCCGGGTGTGGTGGTTGTGGGTGGGCAACTGCTGGATGGAGGGGTACACGGCCTGGAAGAGAGTGGATGCCTTGATCGCCGCCAAGAAGGAGGAGAAGCGTCTCAAGAAGCACTGATAAAAAGTCAAGGGTGCAAGTAGAGGAGGAATGCTTCGTCTTCTAGAGCTTGCTGCGAAGTGGTATGGGGCAAGTGTGTTGGTCCTCACTACACGGGGCTATACATATACCGGTTCCGTCATAGATGAACGGTCTAGGAGTTGTGTATAGATCTACCTAATCAAAACAAAAACTGGCTTTATGAATGAAAACGGAGCTTATCCCATAACGCCCTTGCCATCAAAGCTGTCTATCCGCGACATAGTGACAAGTGTTGTCAGGACAGTGTCAACTCTAATCCCGTTGCCCACTGGGTAGTCATCAAGACTCCGTCGATGGGTTGAAATGTGCGTTCGCACTCTTCCACCTCTCCTGTCCCCCAAATCAAGTCCCAGCTCGACTTCACTCTCGTTATCCTCCTTCTCTACTTTCTTGGTTCCAAAGAAGATCCTTCGCTTGTCAACTCGCTGTTTTCCACCGGATGTCTGCCTGATATATCCGCTTCTATTCCTCGATACGGCCGAGGGCAGAATCCGCTTCACCAAGAGCCAAATAGCGGGCAGGCAGGCCACAATGATGACGACGGAGAGTTCGAGGCCAGTCCAGATAATTGTGTCGGTGTACTCCCACGATGCGTTGTTTGCCGTGCCGTATGAAGTAATGTATTTCAGCCGAACGCAGGACGTGACGAGGATCAGAATTCCCAGACCGAACATGAGCGAGATGCCCCATTTTGACCGATTGTCCATCTTCAGCCGGAGGAGCGACCCCATGGGGAGGAGGAAGATGATCAGGTCCTGTACAATATTGAGCCCCGAGGAGACATACTTGAGTATTTGGGAATTGAAGCACCGGGCTGGGGAGTCGGGGTTCATCCAACCGTCCCAGACCGAATGGACAGGTATACATTTGAATATATTGAGGAAGACGAGTGCTGTCGTGGGGATGGCGGTGATGGCGATGGATGCGTAGACCAGGAATCGGAAGTGCTTGTTGGGAGGGAATATTCGGAGATAGAACCAAAGCATCGAGATTTTGGTCAGGGCGAGGGCAACGAGGTAGAAGAGGTCCGAGATGTAGAAATACTGCAGTGTGTCAATAATACGGGCTAATCATTGAAGTCAAATTGGTACGTGATACTCACTTTACTCGATTGTGTCACTTGATAGGCTTCCAGAGTCCACATATCAACTCCATATGCCATATGACCCCCTGTAACAAGACGTTAGCCATGGCACTCAAAGAATATTAGAATCTATTGCATACCGTAGTGTGAAAATACAGTGGAAACTGTATAGAAAGCCTATCCACGCGATCAGCCAACTGTTCCCGCCTTACTATTCCCACATGATCGAAGACTTACGCCAACTGGGAACATGAGCCAGTCATCTAGATCCCATCGGCCCAGCAGGGACCATCTGGAGTACAGCCTGATCCATATGAAGAACCAGGCGGGAACCTCGAATAGCAAAGGTATTAGAAGCGACCACTTGCGTGATCTCTTCTCTCGATGGCAGCCCTCAGCCTCGAGCCGCAAAGTTGCTTCAAGGGAAAGTCAGAAACACTGAATTGCCTAGTACTTGAATCGTCTTTGGGGGGGAAATCAAGGGACGTACTTAGAATATCGACCGGCGAGCATTTTTGGCTCAGGCATGCCGATGCAAGTGCCTGGAACGTGTTGTCGAGACACATACACGTGCCATTCGTAATACCGCACGATGTCAGTGGAATGGAAGGCATAAAACAGTCTCTCTACATGATCGAGTCAATAAGGAGGTCTTCAGTAGAATATCAAAGTATCAACAGCATGATGCCGTTTGCAAGTGAGATCGAGAACGAGAAATGAATGGAGAAAGAACAACATACGCCGCATCTAGGAAGTTTATCGGCAACATTGAAGATACCGTCTATTCCACTTTGATTCACCAAAGCTCCGGTGATGGAGATTGGAAACAGTGCGAGAACATATATCAGCCTTTTGAGAAGCGACATGACGTCAAGCTGAATGATCCGAGTTCAAGCGAGCTCGATCGGACCAAGATATCACTATTCAAGCAGATGATAGAAGAAAAAAATGTAAAATGATTCGAGCGACCAATGAGATAAGAAATCGGCAAGAGAAAAAAGATCGCCTGGGAGACAGGTGTGCTGAGCTTACGAAGCCATTTCTGATACAGATCAACTCTGAGAAACAAAGTTCAAAAAGATTCGAGCTGCCAATGAATGAATGGATAAATAAAGAAGTAAACACCAAACCAATGAAACGAGTAGAAGAAGTTCAAGTATAGAAATAAAAGCCGGCAAGGGACCCAAAGAGGGAAATATCACGAAAGGAATGGAGGGGTATTAGAGTGCTAAAATGCTCCAAAGGATCGAACTCAAAGGCCAGGCGACGGGATATATTACACGCACGCGAAGTAGCCTCGTCCCTGTCAACGTAGTAAGCCCTGGCACACCTCTTCCCATCCGATACTCTCTGGTAGCACCTGGGCCAGTGCTGCATGCAGGAATCGACTCACAGACTTCACCCGACTGGCCGCCCCATGGCCGGGCGGAGATATCTGGATGCAAGTGGGCACGAGGATTGCCGCACACTGCCGTGCCGAACTAGCAAGAAGCAACCATGTACACCCTAAACGCGGCATGGATCAACAAGAAGGTTCCTGGGGGATGTAGCATCCTGGGCTCACGCTGGGCTACAAGCATCAAGCCCCTGTCTTGAGTCTACAAATCGGCGCCCCGGACTTTACAGGTTTATGAGCGATGAAATTTTTATCATAGACGGAAACAGGCTACGGCTAGCCTTTCATGAGTGACAAAGGTCACGGCAATGACCTCCAGATGCTCCAGGGCGAAAGCACCGACCGCCAATGATCAGGTCCATTTTGAATGTACTTCGCAGAAGCTCAGATCTGTGGGGGAACATCCATTGGCCAGTGAGAAACGAAAACAGACAGCCTCTTATCTCTTCTCATGCAAGTTTCTCTCATAGTACATGGCGGAGCAGAGACAACTTGTGGCGTAAGTTCCAGACCACCAGCCAGGCCCGGCTGAACATCAGCCATCCATGCAGGTCCGCAGGTCCGCAGGTGGTCAAACAAGCTACGTGATACGGACGAGCCAATTGCGAGTGAGCACAGGCAAGCAGATGGAAATAACGTGGGAGGGTCGATCCAAAGGCCCATCTGTCCATCCTTACGTGCAACCTGTTATGCAGAGCAGCCTACTCAAAGCGTTCACGCAAGGTTCTGGCAATGAAACAATAAACCACATCAAAAATGACGTGCATGAGTGTGAACATCTTAGCAAAATGAGAGAGAAAGGCAAAAGAAAGGCGAGCGACAGAAGCAAAATCCACCATCTGTGGGTCATTCGCGATATTCTCCTTTTTCGATGTCCGAGCCACTCGCTCTCATGGAAGTTACATCTCAGCTCTTGCCATTGGGGGGCTGGCTAGTAGAGAAACGGGCGTCTCAGGTTGTCGTAGATGGACTGCTCGTTAAATTACGAGCAGATACAGTGCCGCAAGATTGCGTAGCCCCAATTGTTAACCTACATCCATTGACCTCAAAGCGCCCTGGCTGGATCCAGCGCCCAGAGAGAAGGATGAATGCATGTAAGTGGAGATGATAGTGCGCATGAGAGTAGTGGGACACGATGACACACGGCTCACATTGGTGAAACACCCCGTAGTACAAAGCTACGAGGCAGGAGTCTAAGGCTAACCCAAGTATGAGATCGACGACCAGCATCTGTGTCTAGGAGCCAGGAACAAGATAAGCTCCGGGCGCTTCGATCGGCAGTAGGAATCCACGCAAGCTGTGATGGACAGAAGAGTCAGTGTGCTTAGTGTTGAAGTAGCAGCACACAAACCAAATTGCTTCTCTTCCGACGACCGTAGCTTTCCAATCGTCCACCATATCCAAGTCAGTAGGATTGCCGCGACGGGGGAAACAAAGTGCGATACGCCGTCGGAATCATCCCACAGCCACAGCCAGGCATACATTCAATGCCCCTACAAAATTTTCAAGCTCGGCATACGAAACAGCCCACTTCGGTGGATAGACCATGATGCCACTGCTGCCGAGAACCTGGGGAAGAATGTTTCTCCCTTGGCGTGGCCATTGTGCGTGATTGCAGGAACAGGCCATGAGAGAATCGACGGCGATGAGACACAAGTCATACGGAGGCGCATGCAGGGGAAGAGCAGTGCCATCTCTCCCAGATAGGAACTGGTAATAATAGTACACGTCCGGAAACGAGAGAGAGCTCCATCCTGCTCGGCCGGCACGAGCCCGGACCTGGACTTGGGTTCAGGTTGGTGAAGAAAGCGCCGGCCCGAAATTGATGGTTTAGCGACTAACAATTAGCTCCCGCAAGGCGTCAAAGTGTTGCGGGTCTGTGACAACCTAGGCAGAAATGTCCAATTAGGGTTGCTACTGGCAGCAGCTACCCTAAGCCATTAGGCTCTCGCCATCAAAAGAATTAACAACTTAAGGCAGATTGAAGCATGTATAATCCTTTCTGTTTCATCTGGGAATATCAGTTGACCGCTGGCAGGATATTCACTTTGGGAAACACCTGGAAATCGAAACCAAAGCCCCGCTAAACAGCGACTCTCTTGTCGCCTTCCTCCATACCATGTCAAGCAACAACCTCAGAATCCTTCTCGTTGGCAAAGGTGCTCGCGAGCACAGCTTGGCCTGGAAATTGGCGCAAAGCCCGTCAGTGGAACATATATACGTTGTCCCTGGAAATGGAGGCACCGCAGGGATGGAAAAGGTCACCAATGTGACTATGGCTGCTGAAGATGACTTTCCAAGCCTGGTGAACTTCGCTAAGGAATATGGTGTTGGTCTGGTAGTAGCTGGTCCTGATGACGCTGTTGTAAACGGGATAGCTGGTTACTTTGAAGACGGTAAGAATACCTTACTCATCGTACACGTGGCGAGACAATGCCTGACAGTATATAGCTGCTATACCTTGCTTTGCACCGAGCAAGAAAGCTGCCGAAATTGAAGGCTCCAAGGCATACTCTAAGGCGTTTATGGAGAAATATAACATCTCGACAGCGAGCTATAAGACATTTGACAATTACGATGATGCAAAAGCATACCTCGAGTCAGTTGACTGCTCACATATCGTATTGAAGGTTGATGGTCTTGCAGCTGGCAAGGGTGTCGTACTTCCAACGAATGAAGGCGAAGCCCATGAAGCGCTAAGATTAATGATGATCGAGTCCAAATTTGGATCTTCTGGGCAATCCGTGGTGATCGAAGAGCTCCTCGATGGAGACGAAATCAGCATTCTCACTTTTGCTGATGGAACTGGGGCATTCAAGTCGCTCCCACCAGGCCAGGACCATAAACGAATTCTTGAAGGAAACAAGGGACCCAATACTGGCGGAATGGGGGTTTACGCCCCTCTGGACTTTTTGACGTCTGATGACCTGCGAATAATTGATCAAGATATCATCAAGCCTACACTCGATGGACTTCGAGCCGAAGGTATAGCCCCCGCTATGCGTATCTCACACATTCTGACACTTTTAACAGGTCGCCCGTTTGCTGGTATGCTCTTCACTGGGGTGATGATGACAAGTAAGGGTCTTAAGGTTCTGGAGTATAATGCTCGGTTCGGAGATCCCGAGACGCAGACCATGATGATGCTTCTCGCCCCGGAATGTGACCTTGCTGCGATTCTCATGGCCTGTTCCACAAAGAAGCTTCAAGCTGTGGCAGATAGTATTTCTGTTCGCCCGGGGTTTGCCTGCAATGTTGTGGTCGCAGCAGGTGGCTACCCTGAATCATACCATAAAGGTGATGGCATCTTTATCGGAGAGTGTCCTTCAGGTTTGTTTACTCAGGGCCTCTTAAACCGTTCGACACTTACACTATTCCTAGGGATCGAAATATTTCATGCAGGAACTGAGAGAACCGCGAATGGTGAGCTTGTTACATCCGGCGGCAGGGTACTGAGCGTTGCGGCGCATGGTCCAACCCTGGAGAAGGCGGTGTCTCTCGCATATGAGGGCGTCAAACATATCCAATTCAAGGACAAGACATATAGAAAAGACATTGCTGCCCGGTAAGTGCCTCGACCATAATTTTATTTCATTTTATGAAGGCTGCTGACACGACTGGTTTGCGTCCAGATGTTTATGAGTGTTCCCTGGAAAAACACACCCTCTGACGAAGCCTTCTCCCACGATGAGTTGGTCTGGGACCCTTGATATGTGTGCTGGATTGCTTGTTGACTTGTCATATAGCTCTATTCGTGGTAGCTTAAATTCCTTCAGGCTAAATACATACCATGCTGGCTAGAACACGTAGTGAACGGCTTTAAGCCAACCCAGTCGGGTGATCTTACATCATGCGAACGGATATCCGTGGCACTACTGGATGGATTTCCGACGGAAACCGTTGAAGGTATTAGGTCGTCCGCGCTCGACGGTTCTAACGCCGCAAGCCCCGACCGTTCGCGACTATATACTTTTCGAACTAGTTGGATATGGACATGGCAACAGACTTGTGGTTCGCAGAGTCGAAACCCCATCGCATGAGGCTCCCAGAGTGCGTTTTAGGGATCTCGTTGTATTATAGTCAGGAAGAGTAGAGAGCACCAGTCTTTCATTTTCTCCTGTCTCACTTCTCGTTTCGCTCTCGCGGCTTGAGAGACATCAATGGCAAGAGCGACGATGATTACAAATCCATACATGATGAGTCATCCAATCAGCGTCCTTGTCTGCATTTTTTTTTCGCTCATCCTGCTCGTAACTCCGCTCGGCCTCAGCCTGGGAAGGAGATGTGACTCTTCAATCATGAATGACCTTTTTATCAGATGAGATTGATAAAAGGTATTTGAGGATATCGTCCCTGCCAGCAGATTGATTTCGGGTCCCGGGGGATTTTCTTGGCCCCAGACGCCCCGCATCTCCCTTCTCTTCATATACCACAACCCCATCTTTTGCGCCTGCGTAAATCCGAGCTCATCACCATGAGCGCGCGCAGTGAGACTCCGGACTCCGAGGGTGGCGGCAGCCAGGACCGAAACGGGGACCACTCACAGCCAGCGCGCAAGAGACAACGAGTGCGTCTGAGCTGTCTAGAGTGTCGTCGCAGGAAGCTCTCATGCGACCGAGGCTTCCCGTGTGAGCGCTGCATCAAGAGCGGCACGCCCGACCGCTGCAGCTACGAGTCTCGTAATGGTGAAGTCGTCAACGTCTCTTCCGGCGTGCCCCCGCCTTTCGCCCAGCTGGACGTTCGGAGGTTTGGCCTAGGCGATTCACTGGCCTCGCGCGACTCCGAGGTCGTTCGCCAGGACCATGATCGCATCCGCAAACTGGAGCTGGAAATTGCCCAGCTCAAGAATCTCATGCGGAATGGAGGCGTCTCCCTCGAGGGGAGCACAATCGGGGGCACCACCTCACCCGTGACGCAGAAGGATGAAGCTACCCACGATGACGACGGTGCCCCGCGGCCAGAAGTCCAGGAATGCATTGATGCCAGTACTTCGCTGGGAGACAAGGGCGAGTTGCGCTTCTTCCGCGGCAAAGGTTTCCGCACCCGTTACTTTGGCCCGCACAATGCCAGCATGGCCTTTGTTGAACTGACCGGCTTGTGCCCGTTCATGAGGGAGACGGCTGATGAATGGTTGCGTCCAGTGATTATGCATAACCACAAGGATCGCAAGAGACGCCGCGAGGAACGTGACATAGTTTTCGATCAACGTGATCTGGAACTGGAGGCGTTGCTCCCCCCAAAGAAGGAAGTTGACGCCCTCATCTCCGTCTATCTCGATCAGTTCGAACAGGTACATCGTATTGTACACATCCCGACCTTCCGGAGAGAGTATGAAAAATACTGGCTGCCCACCGGAGGGTCGAGGTATGCTGCGTTGACCGCGCTCATCCTTTCCATGATCGCGGTTGCCAGCTGCGTACACACGCACGAGGATCTGAAATTTGTAGGGATGATGTCCAACGCTCGACGTGCCGCTGAGACGTGGATCTGGGCGTGTGACGCCTGGAATAATAAACAGAGCCAGAAGCATCGCAGACTCATTCACTATCAGATTGCATGTCTGCTATACTTGGGCAAGAGAGTTAACACGATTAAAAAGAAGCGATTTTGGACAGGTGCTGGTGTACTCATTCAGGATGGTATCGCGGTTGGCCTTCACCGCGAGCCTAGCCACATGGCTGGTAAGATTGACGTCTATCATCAGGAGATGCGCCGTCGCATTTGGGCCACAGTGACAGAGTTCGATATGCAGGCGTCCTTCGACCATGGTCTTCCGACTCTGGTGAGTCACCTGCATTACGACACTCGCGCGCCGAGCAATCTCGATGATGAGGACTTTGACGAATCCACCACCGAACTGCCACCCTCAAAGTCGGTGTCAGACTATACGTTCTCGTCCTTTCAGCATCTAGCTCGACAAAGTCTCCCACTCCGGCTAGAACTGAGCCGACTGTTGACTGGACCGATGTCTGAGATAGACTATGATCAAGTCATCCGGTACACTAATGACCTAACTCATGAAATCGATTCGCTCCCTTCGTGGGACATGAATCTGGAAAACACCAACCCCAATGAACACCCCAGTGACAGCAAGAAGAATCCGCTGACAGCATATACCTTGCTACATGTTCAGCTTCGACAGTACATTGTTCCCCTACATCAACCCTACCTCAAGCTTCGGAAGGAGAATTCAAAGTACCAGTATTCGGAAATTATTTACTATAACGCAGCCAGAGATATCGTGCTCCTCCATGATAAGCTCTACGAGCAAGGGATCCGTGGTCTCAATTTCCTCCGCGAAGATGCATTGACAACTTGCATCAATCTCTGCAGTGTAACGATGCTCCAACCGCGGGGCTCGACCAACATGATCATGATCAACTCACAGCACACATTGAAGCTGATCGAGAAATGCATAGCCATGAAAGAAGATAGGCTGCTACGGTGTGGAAATAACGAGCCTTGGGGCTACTCAATCATGTGCTCTGCCCTGGGCTTGTTGGAAGCTCATCTTGGGACTAAGACTTCCGAGGAAGCTAAGTCATCCTCTGCTGAGAGGTTTGTAAATCTTCATTATAAACTTCTTGCGAATCAAGAAACGTCCATGTCGATGGATCACGCGATACCGTCAACACCGCTGAGGCCCATGGGTCCCCCTATGCAAGGTCCGGCAGCACCAGCAGTACCTACAATTGATATTTTAGACAGGGCCAAGGTAAGAAGACCAGCACCACCCACAGAGAATCGGAACGTTTTCACTAATGGCAATGAGCAGTCTATGACGCCTTTCCGATTCACACCAACCATTGCCCCCGTGCCTCTGGACACAGGCGCGGCACCATGGCTGATGCCGGCTGACCAACCCCAACCGTTTAATCTTGACCCCAGTCTGGAGCTTCTAGGCTTGAATCTAAATGAAATTTGGGGTGACTCGTGGGAGTTGGGCTAACTGGGCGCGAAAAGAGATGGAATATTAATAGATTACGAATGAAGTTGAAAGCGGCTGTATGATGTATGAGTAAAGAGACCAAGAGCAAAATTCGGAGCGGGCGTCATCAACAACTCAACTCTTTCCCTTTTCCACATGATATGTCAGGGGCTTCAGCGTTGTCTTTCTAATGAAAAGTAATTCGATCAAGCATAAGCAGTGCCTCCGTAACACCATGCCAACACATCCTACATGACTTGGTTATCAGATAATGCGGGCCTCATAACTTATCACCGGCCCGGCTCCTCCTTGAGAGAATGAGTCACAGCCTCCCTCCCCACTGAGCTCTTAAGCAACATTACAATGGCCGTCCCTCACAGAACATGCAACAAAGCAATTTGGCGCAGTGGAAGCGCGGTACGTAACACATTGTCTGCTCATTCCAGAACCCCACTAACATCTCATCAGCCGGGCTCATAACCCGGAGGTCCTACGATCGAAACGTAGAATTGCTAGCAGTTCCTTTTTTTTAGTTGATGTCTCTCCTCGCACCTCGCAAGGCTGCGATCGGTTTTTCTTGACCAGTGATAATTCAACTGCCCATTTTAGTAGTATCATGTTTAAAAAAAAATTGGAAATTTGGAAATTTAAAAATTGCCTGCCCTCTTGCCAAACTACTGCCCTGCTCATTACTGTGCTTGAAAATATTCGCGATTGTTCAATACACGAAATTCAAAGAATGACCACAGCCTGGTCTCCATTTGCATATCACAACGCATGGCGGTTTAATTAGCAGCCAACCAGACTGACTAGTGCCATTGACGTACTCCACATAAAGTAGGGCAAGCCCAGCCGGCTTCGCTCACAAGATACATGTACTTGAATAATCGCCGTTGCTTATCAGCGAACAAAGCAATTTGGCGCAGTGGAAGCGCGGTATGTGATATCAATGACTCACCCCAGTTGATCCCAAAACTAACATTCCTCAGCCGGGCTCATAACCCGGAGGTCCTACGATCGAAACGTAGAATTGCTAGCTACTTCTTTTTTTTGTTTTTCGTCCATCGCCTCAGCAGGGTGTTTTTAAGTTTTGGCCTGACGAGAGAAGCACGGTTCTTTTTATCATGATGTTCTCTCTACATTTCTCAACCCATGATATTTACCAGCTCCCACTACTAAATTGTTACTATATAATATTCACCCGTCGGTATTTTAACCGGAAGCCCTAAATTAGTCGACTCCTAATTCATATTGCGCAATAGTTGGTTGATCAATGTTCAACCAGTGATGCTACAGGGTAGCTCGCTGCGTAACAAGATTTCTGAATCTAAGTGCCAACTTTAACATTAGATCGGCAAGCTGTGCCTGGTTCCAGAAGTGCCTTACCTTATTTTCATTTTATTTTCCGCTATAAACAAGGGTATATCCTAAGATCAGGAAATATATGATTGGGCTGATCATAAATTTTTTTTAAAACGTAATTAGCGGTCTATACCGAAACCTTCCACGCCAGAAAAGGTTAAATATCAACACATTCAGCCTGGGCACAGGCATCAAAGCCCCAAAAAACTCTAATAATAAGGGCCAGTTGACCAGAGAGGTATATAAATTGGCAATGGCCCCTAAGGAGAGGGAAGCTCATCATCCATCAACCACAACCACGTTTCCTTTCCAACTTGAAGCTCATCACCCACCAACCACTGCCACTTCAAGCAACAACTGTAATAATAACAAAATGTCAGTATCTGGCGTAAATATCACTACTAGCTAGGGCCTGGTCAATGCGAATGATCTGGCCCTTAAAGAGGTGGTGGTAATCGTCAGCGTGCAGCTAAGAAGATTACATCTCGGATACATCAAGTTCTCAAGTCTCCGATCAATCAGAGGGCTTATTATTGATTGATCGGAGGCTTGGGGACTTGATGCATCCGATATATAGTCTTCTTGGCTGCTCGCTGATCATTATCATCATGCCTTTAAGGGTCAGGTCATTCGCATTAAAGCGCTCGCCGAGCCTTAGTAGGTGGAAAGTCAAAATGAGCCACGGCAGCTCATCCTGGGCTCATGGTCTCTGATCAGCATTTCACCTTCCCTAACATGCCTTACATTGTGGAAGAGGAGAGAAGAAGCCTACATCTTCAATAAGGAGAATATTTTGTATTTTTGGCCCTCCAATTATTTCCTTCTGGTATCCAAAGCCTCCTGGCCAAGCTTCTGCAATGCAGCTTCATATGTATGTACACGCTCCTCATCCATCTCATCGATCCTGATACGCTCCACCTTCTTCGGCCTGCGCACGCTGGCACCCTTGGCAATCTTGCCCCAGAACCAGCCACTCTCCTCATCCCCAACAAGAGTCCACGCACGGCCCGACCTGCCTGCTCGTGCTGTTCGCCCGACACGATGAACGTAAGCAGCCACGCTGGGTGGGAGGTCGTAGTTGATCACATTATCAAGATTTGGAAGATCGATGCCTCGAGCCACTAGATCAGAGGCAATGATGAGTCGCAGTGGGGAGGATGCTGTCGTGAATGCCCGGAGAGTTTTCCGGCGAATGTGAGTTGGGGTTGTAGAGGTGAGGGTGCTGATATGTTGCTCCAGAGACTCATCTAGCAGGGTGAGTAGCCTGGATAGGCGGAGAGCTGCCTCATTAGACTTTGTAAATATGAGGGCTGTAGGAAGGGCTGATTTAGGCGTGGAGGTCTTGATAGGGGCTTTTGCAACGTTCGACTCAGACTCGGACTCGGACTCGGATTCTGAGTCGGACCCAGACGAGCTGGTGTCAGACTCTGAACCCGAGTCTGAATCAGAGCTCGTGTCCGAACCGCCTTCGGAGCTGGTGTCTGAACTGCCTTCGGAGCTTGTATCAGATGTTGCGTCGGAATCAGCAGCTGCCGACTCCTCTGTTACGGGGTTTTGGCCCGTCATGTGGCGACTCTTGAGGAGGTCAAGTAGATAGAGAGGCTTCAGGTTTACGTTGTGAACCCTGATGGCAAACTCTTCGAGCTCTGAAGGCAGTGTATGCTCGCTTATTTGAATTTCACCCTCATTCTCTAAAATAATGAGTTCAGGTCTTCGTAAAGCCAACTGGTTTAGCAAGCTGAGATCTCGTGTCAAAGTTGCACTGAGAATCACCTTCCTCACACCATCAAGGTCAATATCTGGAGCCTCCCTGGCTGTCCACTTGGACTTCTTGAAGTGTTCCAATACCACATCCAACCAACCCTGGAAGCTCTGCGCCAGAAGTTTGTCTGCTTCATCGACGACGAGCCAGCGGACATAATCAAGCGTGAACCCAGGGCTCTGCTCAATATGTTCAACTAATCTACCAGGGGTGCAGATGAGGACATCAACCTTGGACGAGAAGTCTACAACCTCTCCCTCCCAATTCCCCAATCGTGGGTCAGCGCCATTCGCCCCATGACTGAGCCAGCTATCGGCATCCGAGCTTGAGGATACCTCTTCTTGGATTTGTTTGTAAGCGACCGGATCATACCGACTCTCCCTCTCGATAAGGAACTCCTGCTCGGATTTCATGGTTTGATTACCAATGGCGACACCGATGCGTACCCTTTTCCGGTTTGCGCCTTCGTAAGCCTTGACACAAAGCTCAAACACTTCCTGGGCTTGTTTTACAAGTTCTCGAGTAGGCAACACGACTAGTGCCCTGAGCCTCGTAACGACACCCTCGCTGAGGTCTCGAACAATGGGAAGAGCGTAGGCCAGTGTTTTACCGGAACCAGTTGCTGCGGATATAAGGAGATCCCCGGGCCTGTGATTTCCTGAAGGTATTAACCGAGGCAGCGCAGCTGTTTGAACAGCAAAAGCATCGGGATAACCCTTCTCTTCTAGCACTCGTGCTGCTTTTGATAATACTCCAAGTTCTGTGAATGGAGTTCTTGTGCTTTGAGAAACACGGATAGGAGATGCCAACCAGGAGGGCAATGTCTCGTACTGAATTTGAGGTGCAACGAACGGTGCTGGTGCAGGCTGTGGCAACGGGCCTAGCTCGTGAATCTCTTGAGGTTCCATGTCGGCGACGGTCGTATCCTCTTTAGGGGCCTCACCAGCCAACCGAAGTGACTTGGTTTTCCTGTCCAAGACTGTTTTGTGTCTTTGCTCATCCTTGTTGTCTGCGGAGGTATCGTCTTCTGGCTTTGTCTCCTTTTGCTTCTTCCTCTTTTCCCTCTTCTTCTCTTTTTCTTCCTTGACTGGCTCAGGCGACAGTGTAACTGAGGAGTCCTGGACTGTATCGTCTACCACATCCACCATTGTGATATCTTGGTTCTCCTCTCCGGGCTGGTCATGGCTTGGCGCTTCATCATCCCTATCCTTCTTTTTCTTCTTCTTATCTTTGTTTTTCTCGCTTTTCTTTATTGAGATATGCTCTTCGGGATGGTCCTCTTCCAAAGGTTGTGACTGAGATGGTTGAGTTGCTCCTGGCTCCTGGTCTTCAATGCTGGATGCACCAACTGATTTCGACTTGGACTTCTTCTTCTTTTTCTTCTCTTTGCTCGGAGTCTCCGTTGGTTCAGACTGGCTCAACTCGTCTCCAGATTTTAGCTTCTTTGAGTGTTCTCCATCACCTTGGCCGGACTCCAGAAGATCATCAGCGCCTTGACGTTTTCTCTTGGAGCTGGGGGTATCCAATGGCTCGTCTTCGAAATACTGGACGGTAGGCTTCTGGGTTGCGGGCTTGGACGAGTTTGCGCCGGGGACATAACGCGCGTAACTGTAGCCTGCCTGGCCTACTTGCGTCTGTTCGGTTGTGTCTGGAAGGTCCTCGGCGGGAGCAGTTGCAGTTTTTGTGGCTGCGTTCTGGCCATTCGCTGAAGGAATGTACCTCGAATACATTTTGAAACTACCAATTGACCGTCATCCGAAGAGAAAGATTTGGGCCAAGATCTGGCTAGCAACTGAGCTCGGAATTGTAGATGCGAAGAAGACCTGATCCAAAATTTTAGTGGACCTCCATCCCCGCGACAAATGAAAATGCGTTTGCGCCGAGAGTGCCAAGGCTTATCAGGATTCTGCCGCCTGCGACCGCCAAATTTCTGGACAGATAAGAAGCTATCGATAAGATACCGTCGTGTCGCATGCCGGTGCCCCTCTAATTAAGAACTGCCGCCGACGTACGTGACAGCTTCCCCCCTTGGAGCTTTAAGCTTCGTCGATCAATCCGCCTCCAGCCATCAACAAGATGTATCGCGACAACCACGTATAATGATAATGGAAATTCCCTGTCGGCTCCCGAGGCAGGAACAACAAACTTTCTAGCGAGTCCGATATTCTTCGCTGGCCAAGATGCCGCGCCAAACTTACAACATCGCTATGGTTAGCGACTTCTTCTTCCCACAACCAGGAGGCATCGAATCGCACATCTACCAACTCTCAAGCAAGCTTATCGACCGCGGCCACAAGGTCATTATAATCACACATGCCTACGATGACCGAAAGGGTGTCCGCTACCTCACAAATGGCCTCAAGGTCTACCACGTCCCCTTCCTGGTTATGTACCGCCAGGCGACCTTCCCGACCGTCTTCTCGTTCTTCCCCATCTTCCGCAACATCTGTATCCGGGAGCGCATCGAGATCGTCCATGGCCACGCCAGTTTGAGCAACCTTTGCCACGAGGCGATCCTGCATGGGAGAGCAATGGGTCTTCGAACCGTCTTCACCGATCACTCGCTCTTCGGCTTCGCCGATGCTGCGAGCATTCTCACCAACAAACTTTTAAAGTTTACACTCAGTGATGTAGACCACAGCATATGTGTGAGCCACACATGGTAAGTCTGCATTGTACTCTGGTTGCGCTGATTGTCAACGTCTCTAACAACTTCTCCAGCAAAGAGAATACAGTATTAAGAGCTTCCCTCGACCCATTGATGGTCTCAGTAATCCCCAATGCAGTCGTCGCCGAGAATTTCCGGCCTCGCGACTACAAGGAATCTCCCAATGGCTCTGGCGTCTTCGGGCCAGACACGTCTCCGAACCGCCTGGGCCCCACGGACATAATTACCATTGTTGTGATTTCTCGTCTGTTCTACAACAAGGGCACCGACTTGCTGACTGCCGTCATCCCCCGCATCCTGGAAAACCACCCCTACACGCGCTTCATCATCGCCGGTTCCGGTCCCAAGGCTATTGACCTGGAGCAGATGATTGAGACCAACGTCCTCCAAGATCACGTAGAAATGCTGGGGCCCATCCGCCACGAGGATGTCCGCGACGTGATGGTCCGCGGCCACATCTATCTCCACCCCTCCCTCACGGAAGCATTCGGCACCGTGATCGTCGAGGCCGCCAGCTGCGGCCTCTACGTGGTCTGCACCCAAGTCGGTGGCATCCCCGAGGTCCTCCCCTCGCACATGACCACGTTCGCCAAGCCGGAGGAGGACGACCTCGTAGCCGCGACGGGCAAGGCCATCACGGCGATGCGCAGCGGCCGCATCCGGACCGAGAAGTTCCACGACCAGGTCAAGAAGATGTACTCGTGGTCCAACGTGGCCATGCGCACCGAGCGCGTGTACGACGGCGTCACGGGCAAGATTAGCGAGGAGGAGTTCTACGGCTTCGACACGGGCGGCTACACGGGGAGCCGGATCCGCAACTTCGCACTGATTGATCGACTGAAGCGCTATTACGGCTGCGGCATATGGGCTGGGAAACTGTTCTGTTTGTGCATTATTGTTGACTTCCTGTTCTTCCTCTTCCTCGAATGGTGGCAGCCGCGAGAGAGCATCGACATCTGCCCCGATTGGCCCAGAAAGGTGCCACCGGAGGAGAAGCGTCATTCCTCGACGAGTCGTGGACGGGACCCGTCATGAGCTTGACGGACACGGTTGATGACTGTGTGCAGCATCATGTCTCGTTGTATGATTAATGGCAATTTCTGCTACAAGCGATCGTATTGGATTACAAGGACTGGCGTTATGGGTGGCTCAGCTGTGTGCTCTTCACGTAAATGGGCAGGGTCACAAACGGATCGATGAGATCCATCGGATAGATGGGTAAACTTGGAGACATTGAATTACATTATAATTTTTTGATACCTCTGCTCAGCAGACGACAAAACCCCCAAGAATACCATGCTGTAAAAATTCTACTGGCTATGCTAAACTCGGCGCGCGCTCAAATAGTTCACACCAACGAAAAATTCCATTCATTTTGTACAATCGTGACTTTTTCAGGCTCTGACACGCCGGCGTTTGGCTGTTCCCTCCCCAGCTTCTTCTTCGTCCTCGGCCGTGTCTTCGGCGGGGGTAGCGACACTAGCCGGCCGAGGCGTCGACAACGGGGGAGCCGTGCGGTCCTTCTCGGCGCTGCGCAGGTCACCGAGCAGCTTCTCGACCTCGAGAAACATGCTCTGGGTGTTACGCACAATGCCGTTCTCGTCAAGCCGGTAGCCAAAGACCTCTTCCTCGTCCTCCTGCGAACGTTTCATAAACGTCGAGCCAGGACCACGATCCGGGTCTGGATTGTACATGATGGCGTTGCAAAACATGTGGACCAGCTCACGCTCTAGCTGCGCGCTGTTGATGATTCCCTTTGGCGGCACAATGTCCTCCGAGTAGGGCAGGTAGACACTCGCGGTCCCCGGGTCGCCACCGGGGAGACTATTGGCGGCCGCGACGGCAGCCTTGTTTCCCTGCTTGATTGCTGACCTTATAGATGTTATATCCTGAGGCTGCAGAACAATCTGGCGGTAGTTGGGGGCATCTCTCTCCCTCAAGGCGGTGGCGAACATGTTGGCATCGCGGTGGCTTGAAATTTGGTCCAGTGCTGAAGATGAGACCTTTGTGAAACCTCGCGTCCAGAGAACCTGAGCAGGGAGCGCTGGCGTAGTAGGATTTGAGGGCGACTCATTCCTCTTTCGTTTCAGATTTCGGGATGAAGCCTTGGGAGTGCTCAGGTTGCCTCGCCCAGCGACACTCTCATCGGCAGTCGTATCACCAGTCTCCTCATGTGGTCGTGGTGTTGCGTCCTCGTGCTTCACCTTCGTTGTCGATGCTGCATTGCCCATATCAGTCGATACATCGTCATTTTGAGATGCAACAGACTGGCTACGTCTGCTAGCTTCGGCCGAAGGAGTTGAGCTTGTGCCCCGTTGCTTTTGGCTTTGGCGAGGTGGTCGGCCGCGCACAGGCTTCCCGCTTGGGGTGTCGACAGCAGGCTTGATGGCCTGTTTCTTTGGCCCAGATTTGGGAGTCGGGCGAGGCAAAGCCGCAGCACGCAGAGGCGGACTCATGGGCTCATACGCCGGACTCTGCGGTTCCCCAATCATAGCGCCAGGAGTTGATGGTGATGGGTGTGCTGCCCATTTAGTACCAATTCCACGCAGAACGGTCATAGGCGTATTCTGGATAGGAGTCTGTGGTTGAGGGGGAAGAACGCTTGTCCGTCTTGTAGCTAGGGGAGTACCTGCTGCGGCATGGCGAATCATATGCTCAGGAATGGCTGGCCTAGGAGGGTGTGTGGCATATGGTGAGGCATATGGCTTGTCTTGATGTGAAGCAGCCGGAGCAGGTGATGTGGAGGGAACGGCAGGTGTAGTCTGGACTGACAGGCCGTGCTGCGCATGGCCAGGAGGCCATCTTTGAGAAGGAACCTGAGGAGGGGGTTGAGTTGGCGCGGGAGTGCTGGTTGCTGGTATAGGGGACGCTGCAATAGGGCGCGGTTGCTGGGCTGGTTGAGCCGGTTGGGGCTGCACAGGACGGTGTTGAGGAGGGGGTACGGGGGTTTTGACAGGCTGTCTAGGCTGCGCTGAGGGCGCAGTTCCAGCTGGCCTGGGCGGTCCTTGTTGTAGTTGTGGGATAGATTGTGCGGCAGTTTGAGGTGGAGCCAATACAGGTTTGGTTGGGGTCTGGGCGGTAGGCGGCGTAGGAGCCGGAACTGGTGTTTGAACATGTGGTTGTTGCTGAGAATATGGCGTTTGATGACCTTGCCAAGGGGCTTGCGTTGGTACATGCTTCTGCTGCGGTGGTAGATGAGGGGTAGTAGGTTTGGGAGCTGGGGAGACCGTCTGTCGAGGAGGTGGTGTTTGCGTAACCTGGGGTGGTTGATACGGCTTCTCCCACTTCAGGGTACTCTGACTTGGGGTAGTTGGCGGCTGGGGGGTAGAAGGAGTGGCCTTGACTTGGGTGATGGTCTCGGGGCGAGGAGAGATGGGAACCTTTGGAGGTTGTGCTGGTGCTTGCAGCACCCGCGCAGGCTGCTGGGGAACACCGACGGGAGCCTGAAGCACAGAGCTAGGTGTCGCCGTGGGTTGAGTTGCAGAGGGGGCCGGTCGGGCTGGGGTTGTCCCTGGTGTTAGATGGCTTGGAGGCGCAATTGCTGGCGTGGTAGGCAGCCTTGGAGGGACAATGGGTGTTGTCGAAGTCGGCCTCTTGTTGGCAGCAGCTACTGCGGCAGGAGTTGGTAACGAGGCCGGAGTTAGGCGCGCAACAGAAGGCTTGACCTCACGCGACGACTGAGTAGGCGTTCCATTCTGGGTAGCCAATCTCGCCAACCTCGCGTTTTCGCTCTTCTCGATGATGTGTATCTCATTTTGCACGGTATCATATCGGACCTCGTCTTCGCGAATCTGCTGTACGATGTTGTCTCGATATCTCGAGTAAAGCCGATTGACGAGCACTGGGATTTTGTCGATATTTTCGTAGACTTCTTTCAAGGACGGTAGAGGTGGGCTCGCGATCTTGCGTTTCTTAGAATTCGGTGACGTCGACCCATCACCAGCAGGCGTGGTGGTTTCGCCCTTCAACTCCTCCTGGAACAGACGGAAGAAGAACTGCTGCAGAGCCTCGGGACTCAGGCGCGTCGGGTCGTATTTGTGATCCCCCTTCACCAGGCCATTATTCCGTAGTTGCTCCGAGATACGCGCAAAGGCGGCGGTATCGATTCCTTGCGATAGGATGGACTGGAACAGGAGTAGGGACTCGAGGGGAGTGTAGGTTGGCGGGTAACTCATTCCCCCTCCGTGGTGACCACCTCGCCCGCGGTCGAGGTGCCCTCCACGCTTCGCGACAAGCTGAACAGGCGCCACGATCTGTGGAGATGGATTAGCTTCTCACGTCGGCAGCAGCGATAACGCGAAGGAGTCATCGCGAAAACACGTACAGGCAATTTGGACCAGGCACCTCAACTCGCTAAATGGCGGCTTCGGCGCCTCTCATCTGTATGCAACCAGTCGCGCGTGGCCTCAAGGCTGGTGATGCCAACCGCGAATGATGGTCGTGATGGATTTTCACTTATCACGTGATTGGACCGTACTGGACTGACGCAGAAAATCAAGGAGGTGAGAGAACGAACCAGTCTACGGCCGCACCCAGCCAATCCACTAAGTCACACCCATGCATCACGTGAGCACCCTGCCGCATGCAAACACGTGTTAGTGGTCGCACTTGCCAAGCAACACTTTCAATGAACAACAGCATTTAGGTCTACCAATCGACAAATTGAATCAAATAGAACGAGTGCACGGCTGGCACATTCCTGCTAATTTCTATCACCCTAAACTCCCCAAGATATTGTTGTATCAACTGAGGAATCGCTCCCAAAGCGTACTCCCATCGCCCATCCTGTTTAATAACCCGGACCCAACCCCGCCTTATAATACAAAATAAACTGAATCTAATAATGAAGGAATTTGTTCTTGAGGATATCCGTAAACGCCGCCAAGTTCCCATATGTACAAGGTGTTGTAATGTTTATACAGCGTAGATATTTTATGGCGATGATTCACTTGAATCGCCATCTAGACTCCGAGATCTCATCTCGCTTGCGGCCTCATTACCCTGCTCCTTGGGTTGATAGCTGAGGCGCATTTTCTCGTCTAGCATTGTGACTAGTCTTTCCGAGTATTGGTCCAACAGACCGTTCAAGACTGTCTCATTCATAGCTTTGCTTCTGATTGCCCTATCCCCCAAGGCGGAAGCTGTAAGCCTCAACTCTTGATCTAACTCTGCGAGAACCTCGGCGTTGATTGGTTCTGCAGATGCGAGCTTTTTTCTGTAAGCTCTCAACGTGCGGCATGCTTGCTCCGTTGACATATTTAGGCTTCCAAATGATGGAAGGGTGGAACCCCCGGAAGTTTTCCTGTTAACGCTCGTGCCCAAAGCTGGTAGAGAGGGCCTTCTCTTTACTTTGGACTTGGGGCTGGCAGGGGGGCTCGCTGTGCGGCCTCCATCAGAGGGCCGACGTGAGGGTGTGTCCTCCGCAATGCTGATGGTACTGGGGCTTGCGTACTGGGGCCCGCTGGGTGTCTTAATTATATTGGTCAGAATCGTCTTTCGTGATGCTCGCCGTCTGAGTGTTCGCGGTGGTGATGACTGGCGGCTACCTGGCGTTGGTCTTTGAAATTCGGCCAAATCTGCCTTTGATAATACCCTTCTCAACGTTGGGCGTCCCGTTGGCCCGTCTTTCGCTGGCGAAGGGTCTCTGCTAATCGATTTTGGTAGTGGATCGTCCAAGTCCAATGTCCAGATCATTATAGTCGCATCAGAAGCTACACTGACGACCCTTCGACTCCCATCCTCACTATCGATTAGAGCCACACCATTGATAGCTTCAGTGTGGCCCCATTCCCGGTCCAAAAACGAGCCCGAATTCGCATCATAAAGTCTAATCGACTTATCTGTGTTGGAACAGCCAAGCAAAAAATCTTGATCCTTGGGCTCCCAATTACCAAAGCAGAGGGAGTCAAGAACGGCTGTTTCAACTCCTCCCTCATCAAGACATTTGAAGTTGGCAATTTGGCGGCCGGTGGCGAGGTCGAACTGGGAGAAGGATCGGTCGAGATAGGAGACAAAGATGTTCTTGCCGTCTTGGCTCATTGCCATGGAGGATGGTGAAACCTTGAGAGGGATTACCCTCGCAGGGATGGCGGCAATGGTATCGGGGTCGTCCATTTTGCAGACTATATCATGAACTTGCATAGTTCGATCTGTCGAGCATGTTACAACTCTGTCGTCTGACGGGATCAATACTTGGACCACTTTAGCATTGAACTCAAGCGTCTGGAAATGCTCGATCCTGCCATCTGAGGCTCTGTGAAACAGCTGTGTCGTCCGATCACGTCCGCAACAAGCCATCAGAAAGTTTTTCTCGTCTTCGAACATGCTGATGCCGAGGCAGTCAGCGGAATGAGCCTTCGTGTCGAGCAGGCACTCTTTAGTTTCGGTATCCGTCAGTCTCAGAATACCTTGACGATCAGCCGTGGCGAGTAGTTTTCCACTGGCTGATACTTGAGCACAAGTCAGCTGGTTGGCCAGGCCAAACTCGGCATCAAAGTCTGATGTATCAAGGGCGATGTCCATAGATAATTTGACACGCCCTTCCACATCCCAGAATGTAACCTTCCCCGAGCCCGACCAGGTCAGGAAAGAAGCTCCTATATTGTTCGATTTCGGCAGCGGCTGGATTCCAGCAACCGCCTCTCCAACGCCAGGAATTGGTATCGACGCTTCTGTTTCGGTTTCGTCTCCGGGGAAATGATCCGGGTTCCAAATATCGATAGACTGATTAGAATCAATCGTGACGAGTTTGTTCGTCAGGAATCCGATGGCAAGCACACCATTTGTTGCCTGTGTTGTTCTCAACACACTCGTGGCAAGGCCCTCCATGAGGCCCCCGACATCCACGGTTGACAATTGCCCTTGGCTGCCACCTATGTAAGCGAGATTGTCCCTAATGATGATAGAAGTAATGTTGTATCCCAAGTTAAGGACTTTGACCAGCTTCATTTGCTTGTCATCATCGTCCAGAATACAGACGTCGCCTGACTCGGTGCAGATGATCAGCCTGTTCTTGTCAACACAGGCACAGCTGAAAGTTGACTCAAGAAGCCCACCCAGCAGAACGTTGCGTCCAGGCAGTGTTCTCTGGGATGGAGGTGTTGGGGCCGACTCGCTCATGAACCTCTGCTTTGTGGGCGAGATTGCCGGCCCCTCCTCGACTTTCCACATCTTCACATGACGCAATCCTAGAGTGAGGAGAGAGTTGCCCAGCCACACCATATCTCTGATGTGGGACGTACACCGGTTCTGCTGGAACAGCTTTGCAGCACCGGTTCGGGGATCGATCCTCCAGACATAGAGGAAGCCGTCGTTGGCAGCACCCAGGGTGGCCAGCCACCGAGAGTCTGCCGACCAGGCCACGGCCTTGACTCCAAAGGCATGTTCGTTTATGGAAACGAGCGGTACATCCGACGACGCATCATGTAAGTTAAAGATTAGAACCCGTGGTGCATATCCCGTTTCACCCACGGCCAGGTATTTTCCATCCCGGCTTAGGGCTAGACAGGTTGCAGCCTTCACACGCTCACGGCTGGTCCAGGTTTTGGAGCTCGGCGAGTCCCAGTCAGAATAGGGTGAATCCCTGGCGGCGACTCGCCCGCGACTGTCGTTGGCCTTGGGAGTTCCGACTGGAGTAGAAGAATTATTCTGGAAGGTCGCCGCCTGGTAGATGGGCAAGGTCGTAGGCCGAGCTCGGTAAAATCGCTGCAAGTATTGGTCCCCGCACACATCCACCACCACCACTGCAGCACCAGCTACATATGCAAAGGACGAATTGACGGTGTCAAATCCCGTGGGTGAGGTGCACGTCGTTCCAATCACTCTTTTCAAAGCCAGGCGGGGTTCATGGGAGAGGCGGGGGCGAAGCGGCGAACGAGTCTGTCGGTTTAGGAACGGAGAGTTGGCTGGAGTCAGCTTCAGCCGGTTATGGGTGGGTGTTGCAACAGCCATGTCTGCGCCATTGACATGAGGAAAGGTTGGAGTGCAATTTTCGAACGGCCCCGAGGAAGATGATGATCGAAAAAGAAGAGGAAAGGGCAGAATTCGGGTCCACTGGGAGTTGGCGGTAGCGGTCAGAAAAAAGAGAGACAATGAGTGGTTGGGCAGGTGCAATTCGTCGAATGGTCTGCTCCCCGTCCCTATGGAAGCGGGAGGTTTCGTCTACTGTAAAAGCTGCGGCGTGTTAGCGGCATACGCAAACGTCTCGGCCGACGCGTGCACTCACAGTGACAACAAAAAAAATGAAACACCACAGATCCTGTATCCGAGAAAAAATAGAAGATCAAAAAAGGTCACCGTGGACCTCGAGTGAGGGGAGAGAAGAATCTGGCGATAGATAGCTCACGGCCGGATCAGCTCTCTCGTCAATCACTGAGGTCCGCCCAGACCAGGGTTTGTTTTCACACTCGGTTTCCGGGGAGCAACCAGCCAGCCATGCAGCAGGGGCTGTTAGTGGCCGAGTTTGGAGTCTAGCCGGGGTCCCCTGCCACTAAGACAGCACCTCTTAGGGTTAGCTCGCAGGTGCCTCGAAGCTCGCAATTATTTGAATGACAGCCACAGCCCACTAGCTCTATCTCTCGTCCACTAGACGAAGCCCGACAGGGACTCGAGAAATATGTCAACCACAAGACCAACCTCTGCCCGGCCGCTGGGTTGGGTAAGGTTCATCACACGCCGATCCATGTCCTCTCTTGCGCCTGTATCGCCATCGACATGGACTCGGGCCAGTATGCACAGGAGCTGGTTAGAGCTCAGCTTGATACGCGGATGTCTTGCCCAGGTACCTTGGGAAGATCAATCATCTCGCGATTGCAAATGGAAGTCACACTGTCTCACACATGATCCGGCTGCCGTTGGTTCTGCTTAGCGCCGTCACCGCCTCCTGGTAAATGAGGATGCACCAGCAACCCCAGTTCCATCGTCGAGTTCCACAGCTCCCGCCCATGTCAGGATATAACCTCCAAGCCATGATAATACTACCGCAATCTGCACCGGAATTGCGCCCAACATCTTGTACTGCCTGATGTACCGGCTATCGTTCCGCTCACACTCACCTGGCACTACAGGTGATGAGAACCAGGATTATCCAACTAGGTACCTTAGTACACGTCCATCGCCCCCAGCTCGTGTGGCCATTAATATTAGATGTGCTCATGTGCTGAGGGAGGATCAAATTCGTACTTGGCTTGCTAGATAGAGGGGGTCTCCTAATTTTAATCGGACTTGGACGCGAACCATGACGCAACGTGCCCAGACGCGTCCTATCACATAGATTGGATTAGCCAGTCCGTACTTCGTATAACACGACATTCGATACGTCTATTTCCACGTGGATAAGTTTATTCATTGGACAATGCAGACACCACAGAGTGCTCTGGCATTGGACCTAAACTGCCAGTCCTTCCTCGGACGCCTCGTCCCGCTCAAGTCGCTCCAACCCAGTCCCAACCGCTCCGTATACTCTAAGTGGCACCAGGACATCAAAACTCTCGCATGCTAGATTCTCAACCGCAGCAAGCAGTAGTCCACCGCGATCGTCCTGTGAAATTTTCTCTAATAACGGGTGGTGCTTTTGCTGTCCGGGGTCCAGACTATTCTCGTCTCGGGATGGGACAACAAACTCTACTCTAATCTTCCACTCGAAACCTACGCCGCTCGTGATAAATTCCGGCGTCGCAGTAATAGGAATTGTAGGCGTGAATACTACGCGCCGAGAGTAGAGGGCCGAGTCAGACGAAGTAGCATAGACCTTTCGTGTGACTCGTTGAATGCTGGATTCTGATCGAACCGCTAGCGAGCCGTCTACCTTCTCGGATGTCTCAAGGCTCATGTGAATTGCGTAACATGAGATGTCTGTGTCGACTAGGTCGATCACCATCGTGACCATCTCTCCGAGTCTGTATGATGGCCGAGCCAACATCACGACTCCAACTCTCGATCCGTTCCGTGAGATCTCGAACCGGTTGGGGCTCTGCTGACCTGGGGTGGTCATATTACTTCTCAATATTGCCAGGTCGATGGCCTCTCGGGATTCAGACTCCTCACCCAGCATTGAGGGGCGCCGTGATCCTCCAATTGCGGATGGTGACAAGAGACCCCGGGAGTGATCTCCTGCTCGGGCAACTAGTTCGTCCACGTACATTGAAAAGTCATTCATTGTTGCCGGAGTCCGGGAAGGTGCCTTGCTCTTGTGAGACTTGGGTTTTTCGCCCAGAGTCTCAACCTTAGCCTCGTCTCGAAGTAAAACGTAGGGATTCATTAGATCATGGCCCAGAATCTCCCCGACACTATTAACACCTCCAAGGACTCGGAAGGGTACTTCGACAGACCGAACTTGTTGCTCTCGAGCCCCGCCAACCCGTTGCGTTCCGATCACCAAGCTATATGACACTTTGATAGCCTTGCCCTTGTGCGTTGGTGGGAGTCCTTTAGGTAGACGGAAGGTGTACTCATACGCCCGGCTTTGCCCTGGAGCTAGTTGCAAGTCCACAAATAAGATGGATTGTGGTGTGTTCAGTAAGGGAATTGCCTTGGAATTCGCAACTCCGCGCATCTCCTTTATTGTGCTGAGCTCGCTCTTGTTGAGGAGCTCGCCAAATGAATTGCTGATGCTTCCCCATCCAAAACTACGCAACAGCCCTGATTCTCGGTGGTTTGTTGGTTCTAGGCCAATCACACCCCCACCTCGCCCACCAACAACAGCCTTCTTTTTCACAGCCTCGAATGCGCCGAGGCCGACCAGCGAGCCATCCAAAGAAAAGGAGCCTTGGATTTGTGCGTAGCCCATCATCAACGATTCAGAAGCTCCAAGCTGTGGTGAAGAAGCCATGCTCGAGTTTCTCCGGAGATGCAATGGCCGGTTAGATGACCGTACCGGCTGCTGTACCGTATATTCTGAGGCCAAGGTTTCCGAGGAATTGTTGCTCATAGAGTAGAATTCGCCGCTACTGCGGGGTGTGCCTCCAGCGAGGCTCGTACTTGATAGTATTCGGGCCGCTGGCCTCTCGCTTAGTATTTGTTCTTTAAGGCGGTTGGGGGTGGTGTTATTCTCCTGTCGACCAATTCTAGGACTCAATAGGTTTTCGTCGGTTGGTTTGACGCGGCTCGGTATCGCGGAAGATAAGGGAGGTGGCGCGGCAGGGAACCTAAACTCGGGCATGGGCATTGGTGAGCTGAGAGGAGATCGCCGAGGAGATCTCCGCGGTGCTCCAGAATTGGGCGTGTGAGCGCCTGATCCCGGAGGAGGCAGACTACGACCGAACCGGTCTGGTGGGTATGATGCATTTTGTAATAAAGAGTTGTTCATTCGCGGCGATGAATTGATCGAATTGGCAGCAACTAGGATCTAGGTAAGCTAATTGGAGAGGCATAGGGACTTCTTTCGTCTTGGTACCTGATGGAGGTCCGGGAATGGGCGAGCCATGTACACGTGGAGATATCTGCAAGCTAGCAGAGCGATTGTGCGCGCGTAAAGGCCGCGGCGACTTTATCGCGCTCTCGTTCCGTAAAGTGTGGTCATCTGCCGGTGCTACTGCTGAGCCGAATGAGAGGATGGACAGGGACCGCTTGTGCGCATGGCCTTGGCGGCCATCTGAAGCAGGACCAGGAGAGGGCCATTGAACAGATCCTGAGCGGCTGCGGAAGTCTGACGCAGGGACGCTCACTGAGTGTGCAGCTCTCCGATGGCCTTTGCCGAGCGGCGGCGACGACAGGTTCGGGCTCGGCTTCGCACGGGTATGTAGCGACGAGGTCAGCCTGTGTCTGTCGGACTGAGCATTGGCCTGCTGTGCCTGATCCAGCTGTTGGCGCTGGCGCTGCTGCTCCTCGGGACTGGATGCGACATTCTTAAATGTGATGGTGCACTTGACCTCCTCGCCAGCGAAGACTGTCTGATCGTGCCAGCGAATAAAGACGCGGATCTGGCTCGACTCGTGAGGGGGGGCCATAGTAGTCAATCGGTCTTCCCACCAGCTACTAATAGCTGCATGTAGGGCGCGACCAGGAGCTGGGACTGGGCATCTCCGTGGGACGGGAGCTGGTGATGGTTGCGATGCGAGGTTGAAGAGTTGGAAGCTCACGGACTACCTAGGCTGGTTCAACGTCATGGCGGCCCTCTAAGTGGTCCATGGATTCTGGAACTCTGTGAAAGGGGTCTTGGGTTAGCTGCGTCTTGGTTCCTGGCTGGGCTTTGGCGGCATGTGATTGGGCCCGGATCTTGCACAGGATCCGCTGGTCTAAGTGCCCGGTGGCCGAGTAAACTTCCAGCAGGGGCGCATCGCTAATTGAACTGCTAAGCCACAGACGACGCATAAGTGAATTAAATTGTGAAGAGAAAGGAAAGGTAATTTCCGTGTGCATTTTTCAGACTTTTCTCTCTTTGCACATGTCTTTTCGGCGCATTCCAAATCGTATCTGCATACCAGCCACTTAAAGGTACCTCAACTCTAATCCGCTCTACTCCACCCTCCAACTCCTCCGATATTGGCTGTCTACCCATCAATCGTCGCTGCCGTAGAATGGCCGATAAACCAAAAACCAACAAGGCGAGTAGGATCAAAGCCCATGGGATATACATTATGCCAATGCCGCCGATTGGAGGACTTACTGCATAACTCATTGCGCTCACGATGATGAGAGCAGCCCAGATTTCCGACGCTTTTGCTTCTTGCAAGCTCGGATGAACATCCCCACCTAGAGGAGGACGAAAATAGTGTTGGAAAGTACCCAAGCTGCGAAACTGAGCTGGTTTCCAAACACTGTAAGGAAGATAAAAAAGGGTGCAATCATCAAAATCAAGGCACGCCAATACTCAGCCGAGACGGTGACACCTCCTACCAGGCCACGTAGGATTGCGCCCATCGTTAGTGACAATGGAAGCGTAAGTAGTAAACAAGCTGCAGTGATTCCAAATGTCTTCCATGTGAAACTGAGAGGCTGGGAGGTTATCGTAACCGAGGCTAGGATCTCTTTTGTAGTTCGCGATTCTGGTGACACTGCTTGGAGCGAGGACTTGGTCCAATCCGATAATCCAGGCAAACCTTCCAATATATCACTTTGTATGTTCATGCCAAATATACTTGTAGTGAAAGACAGAGGAAGGAAAATCCCCGCCAAGATTGTCAGCCTAAAAAGCCGCAGTTCCTGCACCGACTGCGAGCGACAGCGTAGGAGCTCTTTGTCTTCCTTGACCCGTTCCTTGATTTGCTCTAGCTGCGTTTTGAAGTATTCAAAGTCATTCTTCAAGGCCGCCATTAGCGTCAAGACTTTTGATTCATCCCTCGCATTGATTGAGGGTTGTCTTTGAACTGTCTGGCTCCACTCAGACAGTGCTTGGAGCACTTCTTGAGTATGGACTATTCCGCAGTGGCTTGCATTTATGCAATCTTCAAGATGATCCAGGTAGCTCATATTGCTTGAGGATGGGCTTTGCCGGATCATCATGTGCTAGAGATGTCAACAAATGTTCGTTTTTTCTTCGCCATGTTCTCATTGTTCAGAAATTGCAATTTACTCACAACTCGATGTAGCTGTTTATGGCATGCGAATACGAAGCGGGTCGTGTCTTCCTTTGTTGTCGAGAAAACGCAGAGGGTACTAATTAGTACCTCCCTCTCCCAGTCTTCGTCCTGACAAGCTTCATAATTCTTATCTCGCAAATTAGAGAAAAGGACTGTTGAATGACATGAACGGAATCGAATCAAAAGCCGTGGCTGCCTGTCATCCGATGTGGCAGGAAAATACTCGACTTTCGCAAATTCTGGGACCGGAAGAGATTTTTGTGGCTCCCAGACATACACGGTGATATCAGACGTGTAAGGAGTCACATCGCGTTGCCAATAGAGGAAGACCTTGTTCTCGGCACAGGTCCGGTCCATATTACCTGCACTCTCAGGATTCACTCCCCAGTATATCTTGTCCTGAAGCCGACTAGCTGCATTGCCTGTTGGTCGAAGTGAGTAAGGCTTGAGAGGTGGTGGGTGGGCAAAAGAATGGACATCAAAATCAGCTATGCGGACTGAAAACTCTGGTATTTTTGTTTTCCAGCAATGAGAAATCAAGCACTGAATTATCCACATTGGCTGCAGATGGATCTCATTCAGACGCCCCAGTAGGCTCGCCTTGGTTTTGAGGTAGAATGAAATCAGCGATCCCAGATCTCTAGGATCCGGCTGCTCAGACAGGACGCTGTGAGTTGCGGGTAAGATTATGCTCGTTTATTGGGGAAGCTTGGTACCATACAGGAGCTGTAAAGTTTTAGGGGTTGTCTTCACGAGGCTATTGATAAGCTCAGCTGCCCAGCCAGAGAACATTTGCATATGTTCATCTCCTAGGAAGACAATTAAAATAAGGTACTAAACCACACAGGGAGTAGAGATAATACCTGTAGGTGCTGTTTGCGGCCCTTTTGGAGTCAAAATCCAATGGGCTGCCAGTCTGTTAAGAGAAGACAGTTCAGCGCCGACGCTTTGTGTTTCTAGGAGTTGACGGTCCTTAAATTGACTGTACTCAGAAAGTAAATATTTCAAGTACTTTCTCGCACTGTCCGTGTCGTTATCGTTGATCATTTGCCGGAGAACTTGTTGGACCTGATCACGGGCCGTATCGGAGCCGAGTATGAAGGTCGAAATTCTGGTTATTAGACTTCTAGTAAGGTCACAGATTGATCGTAATCTCACAAGTAGCGGCTGTTCTGGAACGCTTGGAGTAGCCATGCTGGTCATTCATGTTAAAGAGAAAATTGTATGATCTTAATGAGGCCTCAGCCGAGTTTTCTTCAGGCTGTTGCAGCGGAAAGTGCAATTTTAAATGCGGGTGAGACGCCTGCTGCTGCAGTAGTGCCCAACAATAAGTTAAATGTGTAACATTAGACACTGCAGCTGACATACGGCCCAATCAAAGTCTGGGTAGTGAAGAGATGCCTGTAAAAGCAGATCCCTATAAGCCAGCGGCGCTGTGGTGGTCACTTATCAAAATCGCCTAGTAAACCAGAATGTGCCACTCCTTGACCAGCATCTCATCTTTCAGCGTTGACCTCAGTGCATTCTCAATAACTTGATACATATCGACCACCAATTATGCTTTTAAATTTGACAGTCAAATTTGCCAGTAGCGCAAATCCTATGTATCCTCTGCTTTGAGGTTCTTTGGCCAGCCAGTGTAAGTCATACTAAGGTGGCAAGCCAGTGCAAATGTTGCGCAGCCGCAATGAACTGATAAGTCCTACTATCAGCTGATGGGACCGAACATATACAAGTGAAAATGATGAAAACACAGTTGTTGTTGTAAGACTTCCGTGTCTTCTCACGTCCCGTTGTTCAATGTTCAGTTAGCCTTCCAATATTGTGAGTCAACTAGCCACAAAAGCTCGGGGGAAGTTGGCTCACAAACTGGAGGCCAGTCTTATCAGTTCCATTGGTGATCTATCAGTATACATTCATGATCGTATACCGTTCGGTTTTTCACAGCAGGGCACGCGAGAGCTAAGCATGTTTACCAACCCCCCTTTCCACGTTGGAGCATTTATCGGAGATTAATTCGGCAAACGTCTGACAGCCGTATGCAATACATCAATCCGTGATCTAGTTCACGTCTTACTTTCTAAAGCAATCAGCTTGATTAAGCGTCACAAGCGTCGATATTAGCACATATGTCACTATTGGCGCAGAGCAGGATACAAGAAGAAGTGAGTTCGAGTTTGTCATTTTGGAAAATAGGACAACTCCCTTATATCCATTCATTGCCAAGAGTTTGGGAACAGATTATTGACGTAGAGTTACTGACTTAATCATACGTTTGTGCGACTAATGCTTCGGTTCTTCAAAAATCAGACGCAAAGAGCCGGGATATTGGTGAGGTCGAAATTACAGATCCCCCTCCCAGAGCTAAAGAACATCACCAACAGATGGTCATTGCATCGCGCTTTTCCCGGATTGAAGCTAAGGTCAAATTAATAGATGCAAGAGATTTTCTTTTACAATAATAAAGTAGAAGAAACTAAAAAGCATACCTGGACATTCTCCTACCGTCGATCTTCGCAAAGCAGTCCAAAGTCGGAGAGGGTACTTAAGCTAAATTAGGGGGACGTTACCCAACCAACCGGATCATTTACTCCGGCTCAGGTCTCCCTTGGTGTAGTTGGTTATCACATAGCTCTGTGGGTCTCTCTCCCTTGTCCTTATCGATCGAACGTAGGCTAACAAAAACAGTATATTTCCTGCATCCCTGGAGATATGCTAAGGTCGCCAGTTCGAGCCTGGCAGGGAGAAGATTTTTTTGGTTGCACAGAGAACACCAAACCATGCTTTTGCGTAAAGAGCAATTGCTAGTGGGAATGTTTTTTTTATTTATTTATTTATTCCTTGAACCAATCATGGGGATCAACCCGCGAATCAGGTCGAATCTTGGGTGCGCTACGGTAACGACTTCGCTCCAGTCCAGTGCAATCACTCGGTTGGACTCTGGGCTGATAATTGAGATAGATTCATGTACCTCGCTCGTTCTTCGATTGTTAAACCATCTTTTTCAATTGTGAAGCGCCTAGCGATATCTCCCATAGCAGAATTGTGGCTGTCAGCGAGTTGATCTCAGTGCCCTCGACCCAGAGGTGGCTGATAACCACATCCTTCAAGGACATAAACGGGATGCATGCACAACTGTTTCCATTTCATTCATGAAGAAATATTCACATGCTTTTCATGGTGGCTACAGCGCACCAACCATCGACCTACAATCGCTCGTTGCAGGCCATATGGGGTTCAAACAGTTTGAGAACTGATTCTATAAATACAAATTGCATGGTTCCGTCGATCATAGTTCACACCTAACCCACGGACAGATATGGTCCCCGAATAATAGCGGCAAGTGGATGACCGTTTGGGGCCCTGGATGACGCCCCGCTGCAGGCATTCTCCAAATTCTAGAAAAATCTAGCACGAAAATGGTCTCACAACCAGACAGAAGCGCATAACGGCCAACCTACCTGAGTCATTGAACAACTACAAGAAAATAAAATAAGGCAACTAAAACGAATCCCACTCTCACTGGAATCCTATAATAGAAAACGTCGGCTTGAAATGTATCGCTGAGAGCGTCAACTTGCCAACAGTTTAGAAAAAGTCTCTATCGTCTCTTTCTTTATTGAATGGCAACTTGGCGCCAAAACAATGCTCTCCAAGGTTTAGTATCTAGGCTCTGAAGATAGATCAAGAGTTTCGATGCCTAATGATCGAGTGATAGAGTTTAGTCAAGAGCAGTGTAAAATCTTTCATCACGTACATTTACCAGCCATGAAAGAAGTCATTACAATTCCTACCTTTCAAGGCTTTCAGCCAACATTAACGTGGCTTATGGATGATACGAACATTGAGCGTATTCAGATTTCTTCAATTCCTAGACGATCGTAGACTGAGCACACATGGGGGGAAGCAGCTCAGGGACGGAAGTCTAGGATGCTTATGGCAAAGCCACCATTCCAGACTTGCATCGCTTTCTTGACTGTAAATGCTGCCTCTGAGTACGCTTAGCGTATTTCATTTGCCCTAGAGACATCAATCGGCCAGTTTCTCCGTAGATGTTTGTGCCAGAGTCTTTGTTCATCATTCCTACCTTTCCATAGCTACAGGCCTAGATATTCAATTCGAAGTCCCTGGAAGATCCCAGTCATGGAAGATGTGAGCTTTGGACACGTTCGACCGCATTTTTGATCAGAGAGTTGGTATAGATCAGAGCTTCTGGCGTTCATTTATAGGTTTTTCAAGGGCAGCGATCGTATCTCGTTGAGAGCCTGCTTATCAGAGAAGATGACTGAGAGTTGGGCGATGGCAAGGAGACACTAAGAAAGGAGCAACGAGAAAGAAATGCTGCCGCATCGGTGATTTCTCCCATTGGATTTCCTTCAACCCTGAGACTTCCTTCCTCAGCATCGTGATGGGCAGTTTTACCAAGTTGAGCACTGGAATTCAAATGCGGGAGGAGAGGCGTGGCTACCAGTTGGTCACGTAGGGCGCGAATCCCTCAATGTGAAAATCTCACAACTTCTCATGGTCGGGATCGAACGGTCAATTCTAAGTCCGAGCACCAATACGGATTCTTCATGGCAAATGTGCGATATCTGAAACATGCTCCGGCAAGCTGAAAGGAAGGTCGGAGACTTGCGCTCGGAAGTGGAGTTTGAACCAACGATATTGCTTTTGCGGAAGTCTCGGTTTGTCGTTCTCGGGCTCATCACGTAATGAGGAAGGATAAGTGCTCACAATGTGAAGTAAGCGGCTAGACGTGGCCCAGCTTATCTGTCAACAGAGATTAATAAGTCAGGGGTAGGGGAGGCGAGGTTTTAAAATATGCCACCTAGAACGGGTCAACGGGTGAGGGGGTTTGGGGGAATTAAAACTCCAGTTTAATAGGTCATGCGTGCATCCAGAAATTGTGTTATGTATGTGTAGGAGGTTAATAAGATCAGTGCATACATAATCCTTCAGGGAAATCCTCAACAAAGCACCCCACTTGCCAGGCATGCTGCAATACTACCGATCGCTAAAATAGAAGTGAGCAGTCAACGAACCTAAATGTTGGGGGGCTATCTAGATGGGTTCCAGTGTTATACGTTACATAACATACCCGTTACATAACATACCCGTTACATAACATACCCGAGGAGTTTACCATCCATGGCTGCTCACAGAGTCGTATGATGTGCAAATGGAAGAACTTCTTATTCGCCAGCTGCGAGTCAATTGGATACTAGAGGTAACTGCAACCCTCAGACCCCAGAGCGGACCCGCAGCGTTGGCAAACTAAACAAGACAAGATCTAGACACTGGGCATCTCGGAGGCGGGATGAAAAACGGAGTTTCGGAGTAGGCTCCAGTGGCCACTGCTCGAGGTGGACACGGAGGCGGCAGTGCTGTCACCCATGCATCCTGTTGGCCGGGTCAGTAGGATGCGTGCATGACCTGGACCAAAGGAGGACCAGAATGGCTGGGCTAGGGCAAGCGGCGCCGCAACCGGGAGGACACAAGTCTGTGTCTGCAGGGAATGCTTCAGATATGGTGTGGGGTACCTCGCCGTCCTTTGCACCGAGGAGGGGCTCGCCATTTGCCCAGAGCCCCAGTAAAAACAACCGCTCTGGTGACCAGTGACACCCTGCCTCGGTTGCTGGGGAAAGGCACAGCGACGCGCCCGGCAGGACCAAACATCCCATCCCCAGGCAGTGTCTCTGCGGCCGGGGTATGTTTGTGTATGGACACTGTATGCTACGCACGAGTGGCAAGCCCTCCGAGTCAGCCATCTGCCGCCGGTGTGACTTGATGTCCAATTGGCACGTCACAAATGATACATGGCCTCGTGCATGCCTGAGCGGGGTAGTTGCACAGTGACACAGCGGGTGGCAGTTGAGAATCAACCAAGTGGCGAGTCACTGTAGCATAGCATGATTAGCACTATTACGTCGACGTGGATGGCAGGGCAGGCTGCCGGGCGCCACTAAACTAGCAAATTAGCCTTCATTGGGGGAGATATTAGTGGAACCTTGAACGTCGTGAGGGGTTAAGAGATGTTGCTGGCCAGGGCCAGAGATCGTACTTTGTGCGTGCCGTCTCCAAAGCCTGCGTTGGTGCGGTGCGGACCCGACATTTACCCCACATAGATCCATTGAGGGGTGCCTAGTTTTTTTTCTCCAGCCCACTACTGCCTCGTGAGCTGGAACGCTGGTCTCCTCGGGCGGATCGACGCCATCCGCATCCGCTCCGGCTTGAGGAGAAAGGGAGGGTACCTGTCTGGACGCAGCGGCACCGCTGTATCAGCCACAGACGGCAGGCGGCTACGTGGTTAAACGCGGGCATCCAGAAACCACCCTAGGACAAATGGTGGTGGGTACATTGCATGGATTGACAACGATTTGCGGGGGAGTGTCGGTCTACTTTCAGACGCATCCGCATCCGAAGGGTAATTGTAACCAGGCCCTTGTGCGCTAATGATTCGCTAGGCCCCCACTAGTGTCGCCCTCTCTTGCCCACGCGGAGCCGTGGCGGGACGTCTCTTGACGACGCTGGTGCTTCTTCCAGAACAGCTCTCCGCCTGCCCATGCTAGACCGGCTGCCGCCCACCCCAATTTCCTCTGTCGCCCTCGAGATACATCCCACATGGAATCACGGAGCTTTTGTGGGGTGAAGCTCACCTAGCGTCAGGTATGTTTCAAGACCCCGCTTTCCCACCATGATGATTGCCATCGTCGCAACATCATAAAGCTCGTCTCCTCCCCCGACTTTGCAACCAGATTTCTTTCTCTTGCATCTCATTCCTCCTCACTCTCTCTCCTCAATCCTACCCCACACGATACCCAACCATCCACACACTTCTACCAAAGCCAAGATGACTCTGACCGTTACCCTCAACACCCCCATCACTGGTGACTACCAGCAGCCTATCGGCCTGTAAGTTTCTCTAGCTCTCTTCCCCGTGGGGAGTTCCCCGAGGCTATTCTCTCAGTACCCGCTGGTTACTAACATCGATGCGTCTATAGGTTCATCAACAACGAATGGGTCGAGGGTGTGGACAAGAAGAAGTTCGAGGTTCTCAACCCCTCCACTGAGGAGCCTATCGTCTCCGTCCACGAGGCTACCGAGAAGGATGTCGACCTGGCTGTCGCCGCCGCCCGCAAGGCTTTCAACACCACATGGCGCCAGACCAGCACAAACGAGCGCAGCAAGCTGATGCTCAAGCTCGCCGATATTGCTGAGAAGAACATCGACCTCCTCGCCGCCGTCGAGTCTCTTGACAACGGAAAGTCCATCACCATGGCCCGTGGCGATGTTGGTGCCGTTGTTTCTTGCATCCGCTACTACGGTGGGTGGGCCGACAAGATTCACGGCAAGACCATTGACATCGCCCCCGACATGTTCCACTACACCCGCCCCGAGCCTGTATGTATCCCCTGTTGTTTGATCTCAATGGCCCGAGACTAATCTTCGTTGCAGATCGGTGTTTGCGGTCAGATTATCCCCTGGAACTTCCCCCTTCTCATGCTGGCATGGAAGATCGGCCCCGCTCTGGCCACTGGTAACACAATCGTCCTGAAGACTGCTGAGCAGACCCCTCTCTCTGCTCTCGTCTTCGCCCAGTTCATTAAGGAGGCTGGCTTCCCTCCCGGTGTTTTCAACCTGCTGAACGGTTTCGGCAAGGTTGCTGGTGCTGCCATCTCTTCGCACATGGACATTGACAAGGTCGCTTTCACCGGCTCTACTCTCATTGGTCGCCAGATCATGAAGGCTGCTGCCTCCTCCAACTTGAAGAAGGTCACCCTCGAGCTTGGTGGCAAGTCCCCCAACATCGTTTTCAACGATGCCGATATCGAGCAGGCCATCTCTTGGGTCAACTTCGGTATCTACTACAACCACGGCCAGTGCTGCTGCGCTGGTACCCGCATCTTCGTCCAGGAGGGTGTCTATGACAAGTTCCTCGACGCCTTCAAGAAGCGTGCTCTCGCCAACAAGGTCGGTGACCCATTCCTCGAGGAGACCTTCCAGGGTCCCCAGGTTTCCCAGCTCCAGTTCGACCGCATCATGGGCTACATCCAGAGCGGCAAGGAGGAGGGTGCCACTGTTGAGATCGGTGGTGAGCGCCACGGTGACAAGGGTTACTTCATCAAGCCTACCATCTTCAGCAATGTCCGTCCCGACATGAAGATTATGCAGGAGGAGATCTTCGGTCCCGTCTGCGCCATCGCCAAGTTCAAGACCGAGGACGAGGTCATCGAGCTCGGCAACAACACCGAGTACGGTCTCGCCGCCGCCGTCCACACCGCTGACCTCAACACTGCTCTCCGTGTCAGCAACGCCATCCGCGCTGGTACCGTCTGGGTCAACTGCTACAACATGCTTCACCACGCCCTGCCCTTCGGTGGCTTCAAGTCCTCCGGTATTGGCCGTGAACTCGGTGAGGCTGCTCTCGCCAACTACACTGAGAACAAGTCCGTGGCTATCCGCATGGGTGGTGCTCTCTTCTAAGCGAAAGAAAACCTTTTGGGGAAAGATTGATGAAGCACATGATCAAAGTGCATGACATGAAGTCTTTTTTTATGACGATGTTGGAGCCTATTCCCATGTAAATATGTTAGTCCCACATCTTGTACAATGATAATGAAAAAAATATTTAAAATAAACCACATGTCCAAACAATGTGAATTATAATAAATTGAATAAATTAAACAATGTGACTTGAATTCAATCTGATTTTACAGCTATAGAACAACAGTCTCTCGGATGATGCATGAGCTGTTAGGTAATCAACAACACATGGTGTTCGTTATCGATAAGCTTGGTTTCTCTCCTTCATCACCAGCTCCCAGACCTTGGCATTTTGCTTTTCATTGTCGCTAGTTGGAAATCTGTGATCAATTTTGCGAAATGTCGGCGATATACAACCTCGAGCCACAGCCGACAGGTTCGGCGATCATCCACACGACCATAGGGGAGATTTCCGTCGAGCTCTTCGCGAAACAAACACCACTCGCGTGTCGCAACTTCCTCCAGCTTGCGCTCGACGGCTACTACGACGACACGATCTTCCACCGGCTCGTCCCGGGCTTCATCCTCCAGGGCGGCGATCCCACGGGCACCGGGAATGGAGGCGAGTCGATATTCGACGGCGGGGCCTTCAGCGGCGACCTGGACCCTTGGCCGATGGACGAGCGCCGAGGCAAGAATGCCGGTCCGCAAGGGGTCAACTTCAAGGACGAATTCCACTCCCGGCTGCGGTTCAACAGGCGCGGTCTTTTGGCCATGGCGAACGAGGGCCGGGCCGACACGAACGGCAGCCAATTCTTCTTCACGCTCGACAAGACTGAGGAGCTGAACGGGAAGAATACCCTGTTTGGGAGGGTCGCTGGTGATACGATCTACAACCTGATGAAGATCGGGGAATCTGAAATCGCAGAAGGCACCGATCGGCCCTTGTACCCCGTCAAGATCCAGCGAATCGAGATCCTCCTCAATCCGTTTGATGACATGAAGAAGCGGACCCGGGTTGCTCCCCAACTACAACAGAAGGCCCCAGCGGCAAAGGATAAAAAGAAGAAGCGCAAGGGCGGGAAACAATTGCTCAGCTTCGGGGATGATGAGGGTGACGATGATCTACCAGTACTTAAAAAGGCAAAATTCGACACCAGGTTAATCGCGGAGGAGGATTCGCAAGACAGTCCTGTCGTAAAGAAGGCTCCGGAGCCGGCCGCCCCCAAGAAAACACCAACCTTGAAAACGACGAAGCCCACAAAGCCTCAAGTCGACAGCGATCCTGCAAAGGAAGGCTCTGATAGTGGCGAGCAAGAAAAGAAAAATACGAGCACTAAAAGTGCGGCAAAGGACCCATCGCCAGAGCCTCCTCGACAAGCCAGCCCTCCGAGAAAGACCGCATTACAAAAAGCAAACGAAGAAATTGCTGCTCTTAAAGCATCTATGAAACGTACTGTGCATAGTGAAAAGCCAGTTGAGGAGCGGAAAAAGACGGCGTTTGAGTCAATGATTCCAGAAACGTCGACCAAGGGGGGTCGAAAGAGAAGACCGGGCGGCAGTGGAATTGACGATCCGAAGACACTCCGATTACTAGAAGCCTTCCAGTCCAGATTAGACAAAGCGCCTCCAGAGAAGGAGCAGCAGCAGCCCGCAAAACCTGCGGATGCGGAGGAAGGTGGAAAGGAACCAGAGGAGGGCGAGGCAGAGCTCTGTGATCTTCACTTCATTGCCAACTGTCAGAGCTGCACCTCTTGGGACAAGCAGGAAAAAGAGGACAGCGATGATGAGGGCTGGATGTCGCACACATTGTCATTTGCGGCTGATAAATTGGGCAAGGATTTGAGCAATCGCAAGAAGGCAGAAGAAGAACTCGTCGTTATTGATCCTCGCGAAAAGGCGCGGGAGCTGAAGAAGGGGAAGCGAGCAGATCGCGACGCAAGAGAGGGACAATCAGGACGAGCTTGGGATCAGAAGAGGGATCAAGCGAGGAACGCGAAACTTGCACAGGCTGCCTCGCTAGCTGGGAGGGGAGCGAAATGAAGCTTCGCGATCAGTAATTCTATTTCGGTGCATCTCTGACTGATCCAAATGACCACAGCATCATAGAAGGGTGTTCACTAAGCGGAATTTGATGGTCCACAACTTCATATGTTAGCCCTGGTCACCTCTCCCATGAGGGCATGAGCATAAGTATGCTTTTGTTTTACTTATCAGATTATATTAGGGGGAGAGAGAGAGAGAAAAGGAAAAGTGAAGGAACTTTAGAATAAACAATAATTATAGGAAAAAAAGAAATAAAAATATAATACCCTGCAGACCATCATCTTTCTTTGTTGGCAAACAGGCTTCAGATATGAAACTGGAAGAACCATGTTCAGACGAGATTTTGCGCGTAGCGTTATAGGGTCCGTGAGTCGTTCTCGGATCGGATCAAGCACGTTGCTTAAAAAAATCACCTGCCTTCCTTGACAATACCTAAAGAAGATCCTGATGTGGAGGGAAACAATCCCTGCTCGTCGGATATCCAGACCAGATAAGTCGCATCAAGAAACTGAGGGAGAATGCCAGCGTAGAGCTTTGATTATCTCGAATATCTAGGTAGCTAAGCAATTGACTTCTCAATTGCTTGAAGGTAGACGGCCTCCATGTGTTCTGGTTTATGAGGCCATTTTGACTCCATGTCGCAGCGAATGAATTTCTTTTCCCTATTCCGAACTCGATGACGTACAAGATACTTACGATCCCCAGTTTCACTTTCAAACCCAGTCTTTCTAGAGCCTTTCACCGAGGTGGGCTAGGCATACTATATCGTGTCATAAAGCTGGTTGAGCGGACCACCAGCCTCAACGTCAAACCGTCGCCTTAGTCCCAGAAGACGTCACCTACCTCCGAACTTGCTAACCAGGCACTACTCCAAGAATTAACTATTTTACTAGCGACGCTATCGAAGACTCAGAAACGGAAGTCCTGACATAATCAAAGTACCGGTGAGTGCGTGGATGTTAGGCCAGGGGCATCTGCATGGTGCTAGCATTAGCAGCCGTAGCAGGCCAGGTACTCGCTAGTGGAGACCGTTGGGAGAGAGCAAACGCAGTCACCTTACTCCGACATTGTCTCATTTCTGCCCTTGACTAGAAATGGCACATCTATCATGTAGATTTGATGGAGGGGTATGCAGTGATACGTAACCTGACAGTTTATCACCAATATCTGGCTCTAGCTCGGGGATTCTGACAAAGTACTGACTGAGACGGTCTGTTCTGCTCCCCAGCCTTAGCGCGGGATGACAATTGATTATCTGCCTAAGGCGAGTTGGCGGAACTCCACCTTGCAAAAACACTTTGGGTTCCAACAGGGAATTACGACATGCAATTCGGCTAGGAGCATGCTGTGATTTTCCTCCCGACAACTCTCTCAGGCTCCCGTTCGCTTTATCTGCGCAAGTCTGGATTTCCTCTGTTTTTATCTTCCCAGTTGCCGCGTTTTCGCTTCGGTGACAATTTTTTTCCTGCTTTTCAAAGAGATTATAATTTAGCGGGGCCCAGACGTAACATCTCCCCGCGGATCCAAGGCCGAACCACTACAACATAATTACATACTACATTCATCTCGATACACAGTCCGCGAACCGCCCAGATTTTTTTACGCGAAGGCACGGTCTACGCATATTTCGATATCGCCAACTTTCGCTTAATCACGATATCTTCACGCTCCAATATCCGCGAGCTCCAATTCAGCCGCTTGGTCACGAATACGCGACGAAGGACAAAAACGTTGCTCAGGTCCTTAGCTTCTTGGTTTTAGCCAGGGTGCGACACCTCTATCAAAAGCAACCTCCACGCTTCTAGTTGTTTTGCCACCTCTCTTCTCCTGCGAATATACGGAAAGAACAAGGGCCGAATAACCCTACGCTGTCGAGAAACCCGCCTTATCCTATCCTCAGTATAGCGACCCAAGCCCGACCGCCGATCCACGAGGCAGAGATTTCGCATCTAAAAGGCAGGCTGGAGCAGCGGCCAGCTAAGCCGCAGTTCACTCCTCGCATCCGCTCAAGGCCAATATCTAGCCAGTTTTTATCATTACGCGCCTAACCGTCTTCCCACACTCCGACCGCGCCGTGCCCGCCGGAGAGCCACTGTCTATGTCTGGCACCAACCCAAGAAAACGGGTAGCTCCTGGGGCCAACCCCGTCGTTCCGATGCAACAATCTATCCAGCAGCCATTCGCGACCAACAATATGATGGGGGAGCAGATGGTGAAATGGAATGGCGGCGGAGATGGCCTGGACGCCTTCGCCGACGCTACCGGCAATGGAGTTAATTCTTACGATCTTCTTCAAAATCAACATCAATATACACAAAACGCTGCGACCGCAAACAATTCTCTAGCTAGGCGACCGATGAATCAAGCCTTGGTACCCACAACTCAACGCGCGAACTTCGATACCCCCATCAACTGGAACAGCTTCGTTGGAGATGAATCTTCCCTTGTACCACAAGAAGACGGCGTGTCCGAGCAGGACAACATCGACGCTCTGGAGGAGCAGGCTTCAAAAGCGAAGAGAGAGGCGCAAGGGAAGAGGAAGCAGATTCCTCCTTTTGTACAAAAACTCAGCAGGTATGTTCTTTTGGCTGACCGCTCATTTGCTTTGTTCGTTTTCATATTCTAACTATGTATTGTCAATAGTTTTTTGGAAGAAGGCAAGAACGAGGACCTCATCAGATGGTCGGAAAAGGGAGACTCGTTCATAGTGCTTGATGAGGACGAATTCGCGAAGACCCTGATCCCCGAACTTTTCAAACACAACAACTATGCCTCCTTTGTACGACAACTCAACATGTACGGGTTCCACAAGCGCGTTGGACTATCTGACAATTCTATGCGAGCCAGTGAGAGGAAGAACAAGAGTCCAAGCGAATATTACAATCCTTATTTCCGGCGAGGGCATCCCAACCTCTTGTGGCTGATCAATAAGCCCAAGGGGGGTAAGGCCACTGGGAAAAAACCTACCAAGTCGAACGAAGGAGAAATCGACAGCGATGATGAGGGGCCCAACGAGGACAACATCGGTCCAGGGCAGGCTCTCCCTGGTACCCAGAACAACAGGTCTCTGCCATCAACGGAAAACCAATCTGTCGCCAGAAAGGAAATGGCGGTCATAAGGGACGAGATCAATAAGGTCAGGGAGCAGCAGAAAGTGATCGCTCGAACTATTAATCGCCTGCAGCAAAACAATCAAGATTTATACAACCAAGCCATGCTCTTCCAGAGCCAGCATGACAGGCATCAGAACTCGATCAACGCGATACTCAGCTTTCTAGCAAACTTATTTAGAAAGTCTTTAGAAGAGCAGGGTAACACGCAGAGTGTCAGTGATATCATCTCTAGCATGATCGCAAGCCAGGGTCAGCAATCAGCCCAACAAGGGAGTGTGGTAGATTTGGGCGACTTTTTCCAGAACAACGCAGATGCTTCAGCCGCACTTGGAGTGGGAGTGGGAGGCCATCCACAAAAGAGAGCGCGTGGCCTCCTACCACCCATCCCTCCCCAGAACGTGGCCTCCCGCCCAACCAGACCTGCACCTACTACAGGAAGGCCATCGTACCAAAATCAGGAAATGGGCCACATCACCGAACTCGTCGATGGCTCTCCAGCCGCCGATACACCACCTAACATACGGCAGGAACTAGAGAGCAACCCTCAGGAACGGATGATGCGCATAATCAATGATCACAACGCGAACAACTCATCAGGCATGGATCTCCCGCAAGCGGCTGAATTTGTTGCAAGCGCACCCAACTCATTGGACCAAGAACAACGGAACAAGCTGGAAAATTTCATGGCGCGCCAGTCTAAATCGGCTTCAGTGAGTACACCAAACCCGGTGCCTCCGGCCCCCGTCGCACCGACGCAACCACCACAACCCGCGCCAAAGCCCAAGCAGCCCAAGTACTCGCCCCCTCCTGCAGACCTCTCGGCAGCACCGTCACTATCTCCTATCATGAAATCAGCTGCTATGCCCCAGCTCCCGATGAACCAGATAAGCGCGAATCAGGAAGAGCTGGACCAATTAGAACGTCTTCAACATCAACAAGATCAAAAGATTACCGAACTGAGCAACATCCTGGGACCCTTGAGTCCTTCAGGTCGTATTCCAGTGACTGAAGAGGCCCCTGAAACATACTTCGATGCGAACCATGTGGACTTTGACCAATACTTCAACTTTGACAACCATCTGGATGATTCTGTTACATTTGGCGGCACTGGTAGCGACTTCAATATTGACTTCACGGGTGGCGGACCTCTCAATATGGGCGGTGCGACAGATCATGTCAATGCAGCAAGCGGTGAATTCAACACGCCCAGTCCAACTGGAACGGAAGAGATTACCAGAGAAGACTTGGGGCAGGACACTCGCGGAATGAAGAGGAGACGGGTCGGTTGATAAATGTTTATATTGCATGACATAAAGTCTCCATGGTCCCCAGTCTGAATCATAAAGGAGGGGACGGTAAATAAGGCGGTGGCGTTTTGAGGGGTTCATTGGTATTGCACTGGGAAAAAGGATAACACATACTAAATCAGCAGGTATTCGTCCGGTGGCAGTTGAAGGGGGTTTGGAGTTTCACGTTTTCTGAGCGACAAATAAATGAATGGGATGCAGACTGTTTCGCACATCCCGCGGTTGGGAACCGACTTCTGGTCTAAATTGGGAGTCTTTTTGCGACTTTTACATAGGTATTTATCGACTAGTTGATAGTTGAAATGAGGATATGAACCAAGAACCACTAAATTTATATACAAGACAGTATCAACACTCACTAGATGCAGCCTTGTGTACTTGTCTACGTATGAGCCATCTACTAACTCATCATGAGTGTAGCCATTCTTAGTAAACATACCTAAGTTGAGCGACTTCGCTCCCCACATCAGGCATTTCCTTATGGTACCCTCGTGGATTGGTTGTGAGGCTAGCTCATCCATAGAAATCACATATCCAGCCATAGCTAGAAATTCATCCGCACAATCAAGGCACACATACGTTACACCTCACATCCTAAACTATTCTCCCCAGATACTCAATATAATAAGCCAAAGCTACTATAGTTGAAAGACAGCTGCCATGGGGTAGGTCAACTTGCGTTATACTACGGTGTAGAAAACTCCTATTGCTTCCGACACCAGATTACTAGCTGGTTGGATCCCGATAAGTCCAAAGAGGTAGATACCCCCCTTGACGGGGCTCAGGATTCCCTGGTGTGGCAAGGCTTGACCTCAGGTAGTGTCGCATTCAAGCTACCTTCTTGCTGTTAGTGAAGCGAGGTATCGATCACAGACCAGGGTCCTTGTCCAACGTGTCCGCATCCAGGTATAGGCGGCTCCAGAGACTATTGTGGGTGGTTATCGCACCAAGTATGATTCACGGTACAGTTCACAGACCGCCACACGGATACATGCGAGTGCCTCCCCAACTTGAAAGCCGCTGGAGGCGAAATGCAGGTTCGTGAACCGGCCCGTAGCTCCCAAAAACATGCGGTTGTGAAACGCTTCAGCCAGCCAGGGGATTCGCGTGTATCGTGATGCTCTCGATACAGAACGGCTCTCTGGGACGGCTCTTCTTGTCGACCTCGACGGCCTCCATCTTAGCCAGCGTGGCGATCCCGTCGTCGCCAATCACCTTCCCGAACACGGTGTTGAGCCCATCCAGGTGAGGCGCCTTATCAAAGGTGATGAAGAACTGGGAGCCGTTGGTGCCGGGTCCTTTGTTCGCCATGGACACCATCCCCCGCGCGCTGTGGCGCAGGGCGGGCCGGATCTCGTCCTCAAAGTTGCCGCCCCAGATGGACTTGCCGCCCTTGGGGTTCTCGGGCGTTGGGTTCGCTGGGCCGCCCGTCTGGACCATGAACTTGGGGATGAGGCGGTGGAAGGGGGACTTGTCGTAGTATCCGGAGGCACAAAGGGCAAGGAAGTTCTGATGAACAGGTCGTTAGCGCGACGCTCCGATTGATGGCGCGAACCTAGGCCCCGTGCCGCTACTCTGCTCACCTCTGCGGTCTTGGGGACGCTCTCACAGAACACTTCGATTTTGAGGTCCCCGTGGGTGGTGTGCAAGGTGACGGACATGATTCCTGGCGCCGGACTGTGGGAGGCGTGACGGGCGCTGAGGATTTTTTCGCTTGTTGCTTTCAATCCGACGGGGCCAGATTCGAGCTTCTCGGGAAGCGGGGTTGTACCTCGCGTGAGTCGTCAAGGCAGTGACGTCGTACTGGCAACACGAGGTGTCGTCTGTCTCGACCGCAGGCGAATAATGGAATGATAGTGGGAAAGATGGATCGATCATGGAGAAGACACACGCGTGGGAGTGGGTCTGGCACGGGTCGCCGATCGGGCGGCGGAGGATCAGTGTTTGCAGCCAGGAACCTGCTCTCCTTGGCACCGGCTGGGTACGATAAGGTTGGCCTGGGCATCTTATGACTAGGTAGCCGGTCTGCCCTATTCTGGCATGGGTCCAAAAAGAGTCTCACATTCTGCTCCCAGCCGGAGAAGGGATGCCAAGACCAGATCGGTCCCTCCATCTTTGCCCAAGCTGGCCTGTCTGTTACACAGCGTCGCCATGGTGGTAGCAGACATCACATTCGGATACTGGCAGCTGTGGACTGGAGCCAGCGCTCGTTGGCATACCAGTCTGGACCCTAGGCAGAAGCAGTATTGGGCCCCGTCAGACCTGGGTGGTCATCATAAGGTGTTATCTGGACCGATGTCATGCAGTGCTTGGTTCTGACATCCAAAGACTACAGGTACTTCGGTCTGTCTTGGTTGGTGTGGTAGCAGTACTTATCCGCCCAGGCTACCGTACCATCCACGGAGGGTACCACGGGCAAAAAAAACCTTGTTGGAACAAATGGTTGCATCCCGAGCCAGTGACCATGGGCGATTTTGGTGCGCAGACATACATGAACACCTGGTAGGATGCTGGCTGATGCGGGCAAATTGGCGCAACATCGGCCGAGTTTCAAGTATTTGCGGATTCCCTGCTGGGCCCACCGCGCATTGAATAATCCTCTGGATGTACATGGCATGCAATGTACCTTTGACAGTGGGGTGTAAAACCGGGGTTTTGCTGTAAATCGCAGGATGAGCAGCTGGCCGCGGTAAGGCGTTGGCTCACCAGAAAGACCCTGTAGTGAGGCCGCCAGGGACGAACAAGTAGCTCGCCATACTCTCATGTACACCTGTCGGACTGGCACAGCAGTGCGTTGTCCATTCAAGTTTTCAGCTTGTCAGCCCCTCTCGTAGGGCCAGCGGAGTGATAGGTAGCAGCCGGATCCAGCGCAATCAGCGCCAGTAATTCTTGCTGGTCCAGGCAATTGGGTGCGCGCTACGACCAGCTGAGAAACACCCACCACACCTTAAAGGCTTAAACACCGCGTATGTACAAGATACATTTCCCCGCAGCCCACCAAAGTCACCAACTGGCTGACTGAAATGAGCGAAATCTCACGAGACCCTTGGTACCTTAGTCAAGCAATAAGGCTCCCAGCACCTCCGCTGGTGTGTGTGTGTGCGTGCGTGTGCATGCGGGTGTCGCCTTACCTACCGCCGGCAATCAACGAACGAGCCCAAGATTCCAAATTCCACACTCCGCGATCCATCTCCGTGCTGAAACATCCCACGCGAGCCCCAAGTGCGCACCAGTACCTCCAGGCCCAGCATCAGCCCAGCAGCGGCCGAGGGGACCAGACCGCACTGATTCTCCACAGTACCAGCCTCATCGGGTAGTGTCAGCCACCAACAGCAGCCGCAACACCACTATTAGGACCACTACCTTGCACCTTGTAGGACTCCATGCTGCCACCACCACCGCCGCCGCACGCCTGCTCACTCTCAGCAAGAATCCAGCCTGTCGCATCCAAAATTGCTCCCGACCATACTGCTGTGCGGTTTCTGCCGCTCCTCTGCCAGCGCTGCCAGTCAATGGGACCTATGTCTTGTACCCCAGAATTGTGATGACACCATCATCTCGTAGCCTCTGCCACAAGCTCGACGACAGCCACCGCGTGCATCCCGACGATTCCAACGCCACCTCTATCTAATCTGACGCAGGCGACAACGCCAATCCCACCAACTCCGCGAGCCACCACGCCAAACACCACAGAACCTAGAAGCATATGAAGACGTCCGGAACAGTCTGGAAAGCAATTATTGCATCCTCTTTCCTCCTACATCCGAGCGACAAGCTTGTATAGCTTGCTGGATGCCCTCCTGGGCTAGCAGCACACACACAGAATGGCTATGGCCAATATAGCCGGCTCCGCGGCCACCGTCAGAGTCTCCGGGCCCCCCAACAGCAGCTTTCTTGTTGGGTATCCTGGCATCTCGGCGACCTTGGTAAGTCATCCTAGGCAGCTCGTCGCCTCTCCGTCATGACCCTCCTTGAGTGCTAGCGATCGTCCCGCGGGGTTCCATGTGCTGACCCATCACAACTCCATAGCCGCGCATCGAAGGGAAAGTCGAGATCCGACCTGGTGTCGGCTTTTCTATGCCAGTTCCCGTTTCATTAGTTCGAATATGCCTACAACGCCGCGAAACCATCCACCCCGACGCCGACAACCTAGCCAAGCGTCACCTTGGCGCGCCGAGGAGAGAGGCCGCAGATGTGGTGGGGAAAGAGGTGCTGCTCTTCCGATGCGCCTCCGGCAAGGAGGCTGAGAGCGTCATTGCGATGGACCTGCCCTTCGTATTATTTATTCCCTTTGGGCGGGGCGGCGAGGAGACCAACCGCCGAATCCCACCCGCTTCACTTCAACTCCCAAATCGAATCGCCGAGACCTACTACGAGCTGGTGGTTACCGTCCAACAGGGCCACAGCAATCAATACAAATACACCTTCCCGATGCCCCTCCAACGATACGATACCCTCTCCACATTTGGCATGTACAATAAACCCGAGACGAAGCTGATAACGGCCGACAATATCGTCCATCTTGGTATTAATCTTCCAAAATGGAGTTACGGGCCAAATGACCCCATTACTGTATACATCAAAGTGTCCCCGAATCCAGACTGGTTAAGTAAGGCAAAAAGGGTCACTATCGATTCAATCACTCTATTGATTGAAGAGGAGATAACCTACAACCCCGAGGGCGACGAGCCGACGAAGAAGGTCAACAAGATTTCGAAACAAGTCCAAAAGGTCAAGACCAAGCTCCCAGAAGCTGGGTATGCGACAAACATGGGGCTTTGCTTCCCCTCCAAAGATCTCCGAGACCCGGACGGCATCGTCAAGCGAGGCAGGCCGGCTTTCCCCATGTATGAAGTGACTTCTTTCACTACCACATCAACGTTGTACAAAATCGAATTTTACATAAATATTAAGGTGGGAGAGGCTTGTATCCCTGATCGGTTCCAGGAAGTTTTTGTTGACATCAGACAGGTCCAACTCAGTGGTGCCCGCGACGTAAGCTTGCGACAGCCTATTGTAATATGTCCACTCGACAAGCAGGGCTGCAAGGAAGAGATGGACGCAATCGAACAATCCGCCAAGGATGCGTCTCACGTTGACCCCAACAACCCAATGCTTCCCGCACACTCCATCATTCTAGCTAGCGATCGTGACTCATTACGAGCGCTGGGGTTGTGCATGGTTGGAGGTCAGAAAAAGCCGCTTATTGAGTGATGACGAGAGGCAAATGGTCTAAGTTATTACCTCCTTGTGCTTGTCCCCCGAGCAGTGCGCCACTCGCGCTGGGCTACGGCGGTATGCGGACATCATGGTTGCAGTCACACCTACTCATCCATCACCCAGTCCCCATGCCGCCATACACGACTCACACACGCCTAAAGCATAACAACGACGAGGGCCGCAGTTACGTGTACCTGTCCACGGTTTCAGTCAGTTGTAGCAGGATAGAGAGTGGCTGTTAGGCCGCTCGAGGAGTCGAGCCAAGGATGACACGAGGATTCCCGGAGGCAACGTGGTGGCAGATACCCCTGGAGCGGAAGTAAGCTAATGGGGCAAGGCAGAGCTCTGCTTTGAGTACATGGCATGACGGATAAGGCGTTTGGGGCATCGATTATTTAACGAAGAGAAGGGCATTGCACTGGCGTCGGATTGGAGTGAACGATCAGAGGCGGATATTCCCCTGTTGGCTTTTTGGACCAGTTGTGATGCGGGGTATAGCGGACGACTTGCAATTACGAAGTTACACAAGACATTATTGCTTCTCCGTTCGTTCCGTGATATAATTATAGTGCTTGCATTATGAGTAAATGTGTACATAAAGGCACGCAGGGTCAATTGAAATGTATATTTAACTCCATATAGGTGGGAATTGTACTCAAGGCTTGTGAGAACATGCACCCATGTAATAAGGATGTCGAAATTATACGTGTGTAAACCCCACCACGTTTCCACACCCGCAAAAGAATTACTCCAAATCATTGTTAGTTGACAGCAGTGAAGAAAGCAATCAAGCAAAAAGGGAAACAAAAATGCGAGCTGCAGGGATCGAACCTGCGCGTGTTTCCACATTGCGGATGACAGTGACCAGAGAACTGGAGGAAGCCTAAACACAACGCCTTAACCACTCGGCCAAACTCGCGAATAGGTGGTCTTCGATGCAAAAATTAGGTGCCTATAGGGTAATGGCAGCCCCACGGAGATCTAATCGTGAAATTTCACGGCGTTGATGCGAAAGCTTGATTGAACCATTCTCAAACTTTTTCTTTAAAGCTAGGGGGCAATTGATCCCAACCTCTTGAGCCCAATACCAAACACCATTTTGGGCTATCATTACTCTATTCAGTTTTCAAGGACAGAAAATATCACGAGGCTTGGAACTAAAATCGGTCCCCGCGCATGGAGCATCGGCACAATGGCCTTCGACGATGACGATGTTCCGACAGCCTCGAGGCAGCCTGCCGCCGGCAGCGAGGATGCGCCAACGCTCGAGGAAGAAATGGAAGATGGGGTCGCCGATTTCACAAAGTTGAGTTCCATGTTTGCGAAGAAGGGCATATCCGGCAAGACGATTCGCAAAGGCGAGAAGGACTTTGAGTCACACGGCACCCAGGCGCAGGACAAGGTGCTGGAAGCGAGCCGGCAGGCCATGGAGGAGGTCCTCAGCTACACGAGGATACACCGCCGCGATGCCTGGGTGAGAGCCTGGTACTTCCCGGACCGGTTTGCCGAACTCGAGGGTGAGGACGACGACATACAACTGAGGGAACGGGTCGTGGTGGTAGAGCACGAGAAGGGGAACTGGATGAAGGATATTGGCCGGTCGTGTCCGTCTAGCAAGGATGCGCACGGGGCGGGTAGGCTGTGGCTATTGCCGGAGGAGGCTCTATACCTCGTCGAGAGAGGCACGATCGACTTGTGGTGGCCGAACAAGTCATTTGAGGAGCTTCTGCCCAAGCCTTCGGACTCGGATGCGCAACAAAGCTTTGGTCCAGATGACTATGAGGCGGGCCTTCCTCTAACCCTGGAGGCTGCTTACACGTTGCTCGTTGGATTTGAGGGCGAGCGAGGCAAAACAACATTTTCCAAGTACCATGTTTTCACACATCTCAAAAGAGGGGGTTTCAATATCCTACGGGCACCACAAAATCCGGAACTTCCAAGCGAATCCCGAGTTGCCTCACCCTCCTGGTATGGGTTTTCCCTGTGGCAATCACTCTTCTCATTTCTGAGTTTGCGACAAGAACCCAAGGTCAACTCACATGGACCTCTGGTAGCCCCTGGTCTTTACAGGTCATATCATTCTATTTACCAACAGCTTGCCATCATTCCGCGGCACAAGCCTTCTCCCGCGCCGGCTGAAAGCACCGAGCCACAGGATCCGTTCAAGATATTTTACCATGTCTGGAAATCGGGAGGTGCTCCCTTCTCAAAGCGCAACCCCCCTGCCCCGGATTTCCGCATTGCGGTGACGGATACAAGCGATACCTTTGTTCCAGACTTGGGCCAGATTGAATCACTGCTCGAGTCTACGCCATATGATCCTCCGAACCCAGCCTGGCAGGGTCCTGGGAGGGTGTATCAGAGATTGAAGTGGGGGCACCGCAACGTGCTCGTCGCGATTGTGGATCGAGGCCTGGTCAACTTTATGAGGTTTGGCGAAGGCGCGTTTGGTGAAGAGAAGGTCTACGAGCGATTTGACAACCCTCGGGGCAGATATAGAGGAGGCAAGGGCGGCCGTGGCGGCGGCCGTGGTGGACGTGGCCGTGGCCGTGGAAAAGGACGGAGGTGAGAGAACTCCAGACATGTGAATGGCTCGAAACTAGCAGTCAACGTACGCGCTGGCGAGTCCTACTACATGCGACCCGAATTTACGTCAATAGTTGGTCAAGAGCCAAAGCTCCAAATAGATGGACTCCGAAACTTGATGACATCCTCAGATAATTGAGTTTCTCCACCTCTCGTGTTCTAGGCCTGCATGTGCAGATAATGTGCATACCGCGCTTGTTCCGGTTCATAATAAAACAGCAGTAGCAGGAATTGCGCAATTGAGGTTCCGAGTCGCGTGGATGCCAGAACCAGTTCTCAGCACCGTATAATACTGTAAGCTTGGGCAGGCATTTTTTTCGGAGACTCGCAAAAGCACAAGTAGACGGCATAAAGTTGTCAGATGTCTGACACTCCGACCCTCGTCAGCGCATTCATGGCCTGTCGGGAATCCCTGGTCGTAATTTTCTTTTGCGGTTAGCTTTGCGGCTACCTCCGCACTGCCTACTATTGCCAGTTCGCGTCTGCAGCTGAACCTCGTAAGTGGATGACCCGGAAGTCGTCACACCTAATTGAAGGCTTTTTCACAACAACCCTCGCGCTGACGAACATTCCTGAAGATTAAAAGAAACCAGCAATGATACATGGGACCAGGGCAAACAATGGACGTGGTTTTATTTTTCCTCCTCTCTTTCTCTTCTTGTGACCATTACGTGTGGGCCGCAACCTCAAGGATATCATGATAGCATAGATGGTGCTTTAGTGAGTCAATTGCATGTCACCCACCCGACTGACTGGTAACTCAACCTGGACGGGAGCTGACGTTGACTGGCCCGGCCATATGTAGGATTTGCCACCCTCCTAGAGGAAAAGAAGGAATGGCAATGTGACTCAGAATATTGTGCGCATTCAATGCCCGTACGGGAACACTACTTGTGAGTTTATTCATACCACTTCTGGGGTGTTTGCGCGACAAGAGCCCTGGATCAGGAACCTTCCAATTTTCTGTTGGCCCTCGACGTGAGAGAAAAAAGTAAATTTGCGCGCACCTCAACAAGGATAAAACGATAAAATGGAACTGTTGGTGGTTTGAAATTACCAACTATGTATCATTATGTAATGGTGACAACTTATTTCCTCGTGATAAGCGGCACTGGATAGAGTGCAGATACCACGTCTACCTCTCGGGTACGTTGGTGACACACGTCAGTCTCTACGAGGTACTTGGGTTGGTTGTACAGGTAATTAGGCCCGACGCGGTTTGTTGATGGTGTGAGGAGGGCTGCGGCGGAACTAGAGTCGAAAAGATGCCAACCCTCGGAGGGGACGTTTCGAGATTGGCGCTGCTAACGAAAAAGCATGTTCTGGTTCCAATCAGTCATTCTGGCCGCGCTAGATTGGATGGATGGTCGCTAAAATAATTGGGATTTGCTCATGGATTAAACTAATAGTGTGCATACGTGCAGTGGGTGTGACCACCCCCAATCAATCAGCCCATATCCCATCCGTACAGGGGAGTTTATGCCGACAAGTCCTTGGAAACACGAAGAAGCCGACGCCAGTCCTACGTGCGGGCAGCAAACCCCAGACACAGCGAGGTCTCATCTCGACTCTGCGCCATGCCCGCCTTTGTTTCCGCCTCTCAAGACCTTGAGTCGGTGGTTCTGGCTGTCGTGGAACTCGCAGCTCGAAAGACGTGGCCTCAACCCCCATCGTTGTGGCGCGACATGGGGACGGGGGGGCTGCTGCTCTGATCTGCTCAGGCAACTCGAGGATGCGCAAAGGTCCAATAAATGGTGGGGTCACCGGGCCAAGTCTCCTATCAGCCAGAGAAAGCCAAGTCACGGCGTCGCTCAAACGCAGCTTGGCGTATCCACCCCTGAGTGCGAGTGTAATAGTACATTGCCCGTGGGTACCCTCCCTGCTTACCTTTTGGGTCTCGGTTCTGCACCCCACGGGTGTTTCGATTCCATACTCTACCCTACATGTTATAGGTGCGAAAGTGGTGATGCGGCCTTGTTGTTGGGGGCCGCTTCATTGCTATTGTTCTCAGTGTCGGATTGCTTCTGGTTTGGGGCGATATGCAATCCTGCAATGTGCCCATGGCGCTGTGTCGAAATTGGGTTGCGTTACGGGGATTGGAGTGCTTGTGTGTAATTAATTAATTAATCAGTGATGCAGACCACCGACAGCTTACAGATTGACAACTCACAAAACCACCCAAGCGAAGCAGCAACTTGTTTGAATGAAGCGGTCGCTTGTGGCATCGAGCAACACCGACTACAAATGTCGCTGTACATTTCCGAAATCGACTTTGGTAACTACTTGCTCCGTAAGGTTTATGGGGGAGTGATATGAAACCTGCCGTATCCCCAAATCCGGGTTCCTTTGCTATGTTCCTAGTGCCGTGCTTGTAATTTTTTTCCCTCTCGCAACCAACCATTCGCCTGGCAAGCAGAAGGTACACGACGCAAATGTGCTCTGTCAACACGACTCTAACTCATAGACTCAGGGTTTGCTGCTGCATGTGTAACGGCTGGTAGGTTCGACAGACAGCAATCCGTCCAGTTGCGCAATTGAATGCAAGACGATCATCGCAAGACAAGGAAGAGTTTAAAGATGGGTACTGTCGACTGGGTACTTGGGCACTAAGCAAGCTGTTGATTGGGTGATTTTCCGGGTACGATGATTGCCTTAGGTCGCATTGATTTGCCAACCACAAGCCATTAGTCGCGTTTTAATCAGTTGGCGGGCTCTCCCTCAATTGGAAACTAAAACCTGTCTCTCACTCTCTCGCTCCTCTCTGCCTTCCTCGGCGTCTCATACATTCCGGTTTCTCCCCTTGCAACAACCCTCCATCATCTCTCTTCATGCTTTCTTTTCCCCATCCTCCTCTTTCCCTAAACATCACTCACCTTGTGCTTTACCCTGGTCTGGCCTTTAAACCAAGTATAGCCAGGCAACTCCCATCGACTTACTAATAGTAAGTAAGGTACAGCCGTTCAGGGAACCCGCCAACTTAGACTTGAGCGTCCCGGTTTATCCGCCCAATCTATTCCCCCCCTTTCTCTTTTGCTTCAGTTTTTTTTTTTCCCTCCCTTGCTCGCAACTCGAGTTAATAATTATCGTCGTCATCCACACGGCGTCATTGCTAGCTTCGCACTCGGTTTCACATTTTACGAACCGGGAGTGTGGCTCTTTCGTCCGTGCGACAGTCTTTTCTTATTCCTGAATAGCACTTTGGTTTTGTTTTTTTCTGCACGGTGGTGTGTTTTGGTCCTTCGCTTCGCTAGGCTTCCATTACTGTAACCACAACCGACGCGCGATCGCGCTCCTCGTACCATCGACGTACAGTTTACGCCGGTCGCAGGTGGAGCCAAATTGAACCAGCCCTGGCAAGGTACGCACCTTAAGTTTTGGACCAGGGGGTTTCTCGATTCCACCATCCCCAAACCCAACGCAACATAAACCATCAACCATCGCATCGTATAGCATCTCATCGCGAGCTTTCCTTAACCATGGCTGAGCTTCCATCGCCAAAGCTCGAGGGTGGCCCCAGCCCGCCCGTGCCCCCAACTGTCTTGACTCCAGTTGAGACAGCTCCCTCAGCTCCCTTGGCCGTCACGCCAACCCCTACCACAGCCAATATTTCTTCTCCCAAGGCCCCATCAGACACTGTCACCTCATCCCCAAAACCCATGGCACCCAAGGTGAATGGCATCGACGAGACTCCCACCACAGAAGAAGTTCCAATCCGCGAACCGGTACGGGAACCTGAGCCTGAGAAAGTCGAGGTTCCTGCAATTGAGGGTGAGGAAGGCGAAGATCGACTATCCAAGTAAGTGCTGAATTTTTTCTTCTTGTTGCGACTCGACTTTATTTCAACTTTTCTCTCTCTTCCTTTTCAAAGCTTTTCTTCCCCGATAAGCTCATTTGCCTTTGTGTGAGATCAAACTCTTTCAAAAAATCCTTGACCTTTTGGCGAGTTTCTTTTCTCCCCAATGGTTGAATTTGTTGCGATGATTTCATTCGTTGTCGACTCTGCAAAGCTCATGTGGATCATGGGCCGGGCGCAGGCAGTGCACGATTGAAGCTGTTGATGAAGGGGGGTTTCCTTTCTTCTTCTTCGCCAAGTCAGCGAAACAATTTCTTGTCGTGTTATTCATTATTTCAAGCTGTGCAGGATGAAACCTTGTTGGAAGAAGGTTTTCCTGCGAGTGCAGGCCTTGCGCACCAACCAGCTCTTTCGAAACCGTCGACGCGTCGTTGTGTCGCGGTCGCAGCTGCCTCTTTTTCACAGCTCCTTCCCTCTCAGCCCGCCGCTCGGCAGCACAACACCCGCTTCGGAAAACAAGAAGTGGAAGCAGCGAGACTGGGGCATTTCATTTTGCATCTGCACACATTTATCAGATCATTATATTTTGAAGTCATATATTCTCAAAATCGGACTATCTGAGCCAGTCGCTCTCATTTACCTATCCTCATTGTCAACTTCCCATTCTGCACACAGCTCCCTCACAGAGCTGGAAACGGATATTTGACCGGAAGCCTACGTGTGCTGCCAAGAGAGATTCTACCCTGGAATACGTTTGAAGGTACAATTGGCAAGCGACAAGTTTCCCCAATCACCGCTTTTCTTAATTCACAATGCCATCCGTGACTGGCCAGTCTTCTTCATATACGTATACACACCTGGGATTTTGTGTAAAGCAATTCACCCAGGTGTGTTTGGTCAATGAGCTCTGGCCCTCGCAATGGTCTAACTTCCTCGTTTCTCCTCCCCCCCTCACTCACAGTTCTCTTTTCTCTCTTACTCACACACCCTCTTTTTTTTTCTTACCCACCTCTTTCTCTCACTACCCCAGCTACCGCAAAATACCACCAACTCATCCAACCATTACCCTTGGCACATATCCTCTTACGCCATCTCACTTCCAGAACAGGGCTCGTTTGGCTTTGTTTCCTGATCAATGCGAGAGAGGTATACCAAATCTGGGCCAAAGGTCTCACTGAGTAACCCTCTCACACCCACCTCCCTCGTCTTTCATATACCCTACTAAACCCGGGGTTTCATCCATCGTTGAAACACCTTGTTGTAGTTCCTTTTATTCTTCTAAATTTTCTTAGCACTTGTCTCAGCATTTTACTAACGGCATACTTAGGCAGGTCAACGGCATAAAGAACGGAACTGATGACGTTGATGGCGAGAGTGAATTGAGTGAACCAGATAGCAACGTTCACTCTCCACCTGGTGTGCATGATCTAGCAGACGAGATAGTTGTTAGCAACAGACCTGATGAGGATCAACCTTTTTCACCGAATCACGCACACTCGGAAGAGGAAGACGAGACCATGGTAGACGCACAAGAGGAGCACATCTCGCCGTACCCAAAGCGCAAGCGAACCACGACTATCAACGGCGCTGGTGAAAAGATCTCAGACTCCTTTGATAGCACCCTTGAGGATAAAGCTGTTGAAACTATTACGAACGGCAAGCCTAAACCTACGCGACCAGCCGCCGGTGGTGTTAAGGGTATCATTCTTGGCCATTGGAGAGATTCTGAAGTCCCCGAGGATGTGCGAAAGCATGCCGTCATCGGATTCATTGATATCCGTGACCGCCTGCGTACACGTATTCAGCCTGTCAACCTGATTGGTGAGGTAATGACAGTCGACTTTCCTCTTCCTCCTGGCCCTGGAGGAAGCTGGGTAACTTTTGACAGAATCTTCTTTCTGCCTCACCTTGTTGGTCTAGATCAGTCCCAAATCAAGGAGTACGTTAGACTTCGTTCAGAGATGACTGAGGGAACGGACGAGGAGCGTATTGCTGCCGAGAAGGCTGTGGCGAAGGATGTTGCTCGGCGAATTAGGCCTAATTCTTCAGATCACCCAACACCCCAGCTACAGATAGCATATGGATCGAACCTTCCAGATCACATGGCTGCTCATGTCCGTCCAGATGCGAAGCGACGAAAGACAAGCAGTGGTTTTGCACCCATCCATCCAGCCCCTTCTCCAGCGTTGGATTCACCTCGCGGTGGCCCTTCGCCTGCTTACCAACGGCCTACGCTTGATACGCTTCCTGGTACTCGACCCACCCGCATTCTTCTCGGATACTGGAGTAAGTCGGACGAAAAAGACCCCAAAGATCGACATGCGGTCTACGGTATCCTAGGCCATAACGACATGTTCCGTGTCAAGCTTGTTCGCGAGACACGAGATGGTCGATATGTCGATGGCAACTTCCCTACTGCGCCCGGCGCTCTTTGGATCGCCTACGAAGAGGTTGAGATGGAACCACATCTTAAAAGTTTAGCACGAGCTGAGATCAAGGAGTATTGCCGTGTCCGTCAATATCAGATTGATCAGGGAGAAACATCCGACGAAAAGGAAGCAAACCAGGTCAAGGCCGCCGCAGAGGCCCAGGCTCGCATCAGCGGGAACCCTACGACCATCAAGCACACCGCACCCAGTTCCGTAACGAATACTTCCGACAATGTAGATGAGCCTGACTCCCCTACACAGCGGGGCCTAAGTGGCCAGAAGCTACGTACATCACGCCGCACAGAGGCCAAAGCCCTCGCTCAAGCACAGGCCCAGGCAGAGCAAGATAAGATTGATCGTGACGAGAGCCGCGTCAACGGGCGGTCACGTCCCTCCATGGGAGATGAAGGCCTCAATGGCCGTGTCAACAATATTCGAAGTGAGAGAGCGGTTGCCCTTGCTCAACGGGAAATCGCCCGAGCTGAGGCCGCCCAGGGGCGTGCTGATTTGCACGCCTCCCACCGAGAACGTGCTGCAGCAGTTGCGGCGGAGGAAGCAACAGCAGTCGCGGCGGCCGCAGTCGCCACACCCGGGGCGACTACGCCTAACGGCACATCTCGATTTGCAGCATCAGATGACATGCAGCGTCTGAACCAGGTTTGGGCACGTCAGGAATCCCTCAGAGTCAGAGCAGCATCGGAGGATGCCAAGGTGTACGATGGCCGTAAATATGAGCGCAAGTCCACAGGCCCTTTTACGGGCAAGCTTGTGGCACAGGGAACGCTCATTAATATCGATGGAGAGGACTACGTGGAGTACCGAGTTTTAACTCGGCCCTCCTTTTTCTAATAATAAGGCTTTCTGGCCTTTTGTTTTGGGTTGAATTTTTGTGGCGTTATTCAGTTGCACGAGATCAAGTCGAGATACTCCTGGAATTAGCCGTTCCTCATCAGGTCTTCGCTAATTATGTACTCTTTTTTCTTTTTCTTCTTTCCCTTTTCAATGGTATAGTTGTCGACGATGGGTTAATGTCACCACACCCTACACAACCAAATCGACGTGCAGGCAAAGATGCCAACCCCTCAACGGAGGGAGCATACTGAAACAAATTGTCACCAAATGCTCCTCGGTTTCACGCCAAGTTCGACGCGTCGGAATGTGACATGGGAGGGCTAAGATGGACTTTCCCATGGCATATTTTATAGAAGGCTTGTCGGTCTTCAGATGATTTTTTTTTTAGCTTCGCTGGCTTGGGAAGATGAATTGGTTGGATTATGTCAGGGTCTTTCTTTTTTCTATTTTTCTTTCTTCGCCTTTACAAAGTCAAAGACTCGTTACAGGCAACCAAAAAGAGCAGTGTATGTTAGTTTGAAGAGTAGTGGCGCGAGCGCGACTTGGCTGGAAAGATGGCACCTCACACAATTGTGGTTCTACCGGCCTTTTTGTCTACCTTTGCTTGGCGATGGAGAGATGCCATGTCTTTTTACCTTGCGGGATAGGTAAAATCACTTAGTTAGCTTCTCAAAATCAGATTGAATTCTTTAAAACAAAATGAAATGCTTGCCTAGATTAAACGGCTTGAGGTGGTCACGATAAAGTTGTGCTGGGTTTGCTTGAAGGGGGTCGGTCGATAGTCTTTTTTTTATTGTGTGCATGTGCCATTATCTACTGTCATAGCTGATTCATACCTTGGGCTCGGCATCACCCTCCTTCTTTGGCTCTTCATAATTTTCCACCTTCATATCTTTGAGTCCTAACTCCTCCTCCTCTTCCTCCGTTCTGTCATACTTCTCTCTCTGTATCTTGGGATCTGGGGCTGGTGGGTCGACGAGTGGCTGGACAAAACTGCTGGCAAAAGGATCGGTTAGGATGACGGTGAATATCACGTCCCCCTTGATGGCGGCGTCTAGGCCGCCGAAGAAATCGTCCCACTGCGCTCTCTGGTCAGAGGCGAGGGAGTCGCCGCCGTGGGCGTTGGCCTCGAAGATCTGGCTGTGCAGGTCGTTGCGGACCTGGGTGAGCAGGCCCTCGACGGTGGTGAAGCGGCCGCCGAGGGTGCCCGGGTTGACCTCGAGCCGGAGCTCGGGGCACTGGAGCGCGCATGTCTCGCTCTTGAGGATATCGCGGGCGAGGTCCGTGGCATCCTCGACCTTGAGGATGATCTTCTCGCCCTGCTCCGGGATCTCGCCCCCGGTCTTGACGTCGTTTGAGCGGTAGCCGCAGGCGTCGCAGACTGTGGACATGATGACGACCTGCTTGAAATGGGGGATGTCGACCATCTTCATGTGTGTCGTGCAGGGGTGCATGCAGCCTGGGCAGGTGGCTGGGAAGCTGTATACCTCGTCGGGGATGATCTCGCCGTCGGCTGTGAGGGCCTGTGTGGAAACGGCGGCGTCGGGGTCGGCGGCGCTGTCAGCGAGTCCGAGGGCGGCGTTCTGCTCTGGGGTGCGGAGGAACTCCCGCTTCTCCCACTTGCCGACGCCATCCTTGAGGTCGGGGGCGATGAAGGAGTTTCCAGCCGGGTCGTCGACGAAGACGCGGAAGGGGAATGCGTCGCCAAGGAGCATGGCGCGACCCTTGGCGATAATCTCGGCGATCTTTGGGTACACCTCGGGCGACTGTTCTTTCCGCGCCTCCTGGCCGAGTTCTAGGTCGTCGACAACGGTCGTCAGTAGACCCTCGACGTTTGTGAGTTGGCCTCGTCCGGCGGGGATCTCGAGGTCGAGCTCTATGAATTTGACGGTGGCGGTGTCTGACTTGACGACCTGGCGCTGGAAGTCATCGAGGTGTGTTAATCGGAGCTCGTAGTGCGTTCCCTTGGGCTGGACGGTGCCGGCGGCTTGGATTTCGTTGTTCTGGAGGCCGCAGTGCTCGCAGGCGAAGGACATGATGACGACCTCGCGGAAGTAGGGGATGACGGTGAGGAGGAGCCTGGTGATTCCCTGTATATTTATTAGAATTTATTCGAGGAGAAATGACCATATTTGTGAGGTGTTGGGTAGTCTGAGGCGATCGCTTACATTCTTACCACAGTTCATGCAGAGTGATTCGATTTCCTCCACCGGGGGTCTATCATCTGAGGTATCAGCTCCATTTGTGGCTGGCGCAAGGTCCTCGACCTTGTTCCCGATAGCCTGGAAGAACTGGTCGGGGTTCTGGGTCTTTGTGACCTGGTCGCTCTGGTCGTTGGCAGACATTCTGGCTTGCGATTGAGGATAGCCTTGTCCCAGAGGTTTGCGATAAGTTGAGATGTGTGACTCGATGGAGGGGTCTGGAAATTTTTTGGAGGGGCAGCGCCAAGGTTGGCGGGGTGTTATGTCATGGTGGGCTTTTACGCGGGCGGACCCCTGGCGGCCGTTGCTTTCAATGGATGCTTCAGGGCGCTGTTGAGGCGAGGCGGCTTCTAGCACCATCTAGCACCCACCGAAGATTATCTACGGCTACCAGCTGAGGAAAATTCAGCCTGTAGGAGGCCAGCCATATTAGCAAGTGCTCGATTAGGAACGCGAGAAGGATAAAATCGAGAATCTGTACTTACCTTCTTGAGATATGACACCCTTTCATCTCCCCTGTCGCAATTCTTGTAACATAGGTATAACATCTGTCGACTAGCAAGCTCGCTTGAGTATTAGTATGTCAGGCCTGAGATGCCAAATGGAATGACGATGAGCCAGTCATGTGTTTCTCCCTCATTTCTTCATAAAGTCCGCCAGGCTGAGAGGGTTGGACTGCTGCTGCCGTTGGCCAGAGAGCAAAGCCTGCAACCCTGCTTTTCTATTTTTCGCCCTCTTCTTGCTGCCTGCATTTGAGCTGAGTTTGAGCTGGTCTGGTCCAGTGCTGCCGGTTGCTTCAGCTAGAGACTTGGGTTTTGTAGAATGTGCTTTTCTAGACTTGCAGCGGACTGGAGCTACAGAGTCTGTCAGGCCAATTCGAGTCTTGCCATCGCACATTCCGCAGGTAATGGTTTTGGTCATGGATTTGGCCGTGGGTTTTGAGGGCTGTGGCTTTTTCCGACCGTGTTTGGGCCTCTGTAACCGAATTGTGCTTCCTGTTCCAGGAATCATGATATTACCACAAGATCCGCAGACATGCTGTCGTTGGTGTTCATGCGGTGAGAGTTTGTGTTCGTACATCAGATCACGGCGCTGGGCCATCAGGTGTGCAGCGGTCGCTGGGGCGGTCTCGTGTAGGAAATGAGCCGCATCTGTGAGATACTCTATCGTCTTGGATAGCTGCGGGGTTTCCATGGCTGATGAGAACGCGTCGGTATCTAAGTAGTATGTAGACTCGGGGAGCGATGCGAGACCGTAAAATGTTGCTGGTGCAGAATCAAATACCCTGTTCGACAGGCGTGGGGCTCACCTTGACGGCCAACCTTAATCTTACCCTGGACCAGCCAAAGACTATAAGAAGATGCATTTTCCCCATGAGGCTTGATCCTTATTGCAATATCTCTTTTAACAGTAGACCGATCAGATTATGGGAATAATCGGTTTATTTATTTTTTCTCTCTTCGGGGTTGAACATCTACTGCTTGGCTAGGCTCGACGAATCTCCCAGGTGAGGTCCTTGATGCTCACTTCATCCCCCGCTTTCTCGTCGTAGTCAAACCACTCGCCATCCACTAGTTCGATGGCTGTGAATTTTGTGTTGGAATCAATGCCTTCCGCTAGCCACTCCCCCTTGAAGAATTAGAGTGTCAGCCTTACACTGCGAAAAAAACGACTAATGTATCATGATGGGACCATACCTCGGGGTGGAATTCTGTGAATTCAAGGCCACGGCAGTCAAACTCGATGATCTTTTGCTTCTTAGGTGGCTCTGCCAGCTCATATGGTGTGGCCGCAGCCTTAATGGAGGCAGACGACTCTCGCTGGTGATGATGATATTAGCCTCACACAATCCAGGACTAATATCGCAGCACTCATGATCCCGAACCTTGCAGTTCTTGCACTTCCAAACGAAGTTAGCCTCGCCCCTGCTCCCGCTCAGTTCGTTTGCCTCCTGGATTATCCCGTAAGTAGCTGCCCGAGCAAGCGGGGGAGCATCTGGCTCATACAAAGCGGTTAACGCCAACCGTGTTGGCATGAGTCTCGCGACAGGAGGTGCATTGCACCTTGAACATGAACCAGAACGGGTTTTCCTCAGTATCCTGGGGCCGTAGGTTTGTCACTCTGCCACGATTAGCATCTTGCTAGGCTGGTGTCTTTGAAGAATGGTAAGCTTGCATACCCATTGAGCTCAGCGGTAAGAACAAGTGTAAACATTTCGGCAAAATAAAAAACTTGGAAGACCTCGGCGGTTGTCTGGAGATATTCTGTATCTTGAATACCGAAACTCGGCTTCTTCGCTGCTGGTTTCCGACCTGTGTGTAAGTGGTGTAGGAGCACCATCCTTGGGCCGATGGTGGACCAATGGCAGCACGTGACTTGGACGGCTGGCTACGGCCCACTTGCCCACCGAGATCATTCCACTTTCTGTTCGTGCTCTCGACGGGAGGAGCGACTACCGAGTGGTTTCGAACGACATTGCGCCAATTGATTGCCCGAGATACATTTGCGGCGCCGCAGAGACTATGGGCGAACGAACGCCCTGTCCTTGATCGATGCAGTCACTATGGGCGACAGCCAGGCGGGCCCATCGTTGCGGCCGCAGGGCATACAGCACAACTGTGGCTGGCCTTGGTCGCCGAGTGACGAATACGCCGCACCGAAAACCGACATTTCCCGACATCTTCACGGCATGTTACAGTTCTCTTTTTGCCTCGGCGGCCCTAATTGATGCCGTCTCCAAGTGCGAACGGAGACGGGAGCTCGACCGGCAGGTGGAGGATGTTCAGCGTGACCTGGGCAACTTGCGAAAGCAAGATATGGCCTATTGGGTTGAATCGAGCATCGAGCGTCTGACTGATGACCAAATGGATCACGCTTGGAATTGCTTGAGGGACATATATTCCAATCGGCCCTACTTCAAAGAGATGCACAAGCCAGCCCGGCTGCGCAGGTCTGCTCTGCGGGCAGGATTACAACGGGACTTCTATAACTGCACCGAGACGACCTTGGGCCTCTCGTTACGGAACCGGGCTACGGGTGGCCTGCGACTAGCTGCCGCATATGAAGAAGTGAGCGATCAAATAACACGCCGGGATCCCCTTTCCAAGGTCCACCTGGAGAATTTCGGGAAAAGTATCAGGAACATGGTTGAGAAGCTGCTATTGCGTGCCAATGCTCGATCTTCGGACACGACCCCATCACCGTCGTATGATGAAGCTATGCGCTTACTCGACTCTGGATACCCGTTCTATCAACTTCGAAGCATTGACATGGAGGCGGCTAAACTGAATACCTTTAGGATCAATCAAGCCAACAGGGTCGCTATAAATCATCGCGGAATTGGAACCAAGGAAAAGATAGGAAGGGTTTGCTATAACCTTCTCATCTCGGCGTATCCGCCGGATATGCATACGTTCAACTCCCTGATGATCGAGCTTGATGGCGTGCACCTTACTGCCTTCTCGGAGCAAATCATCCACAGCTTTTTCTTCGAAACATATCTAAAGCCTACGCCGACAACTTTCGCTGCGATTCTTTCCCACTACACCTTGACAAAGAATCATGGAAAGTTCATGCGGACCATCGCGAGTATAGTTGGCCTTGACCCCAAAAGCGGTGCAAAAGTACGACGATTCCACATAGATGCTGCGCTGGATGACCCCATTTATCGTCGCTGGGCTATGAATACCCGTGACAGAACCTTGATTGGTGACTACGTCTACGAGCACTTGCCGCTGAATCGTCTTGTTGTAGAGGAGATCTTGAGGGGCCTGATCCATTTTCATATGATACCGGAGGCGATCACCTTTTTCACGACCTGCGTCCGCAGGAACGTGGATATTACGACGACGACAATCAGGCAAGTTTTCGATGCGTGTGTATGGACTTTGGACTGGTCTGCGGGTGTGAGGCTTCTTCAAGAGATCTCCAAGCACGTTCATTTATGGAAGGTTCTGATGAAACTTTGTGATTACAAAACTAGAGCCCACCTGATTGACAGAACGTATTCTATCTTCGACATGGTCGGAATGGGAGGAGCAAGTCGACAAATATCGCCTGAGCGACTCGCCGACCTCGAACTCTCATCCAACAAGCTCCTAAAACTCAAAGCAAAGGTTACGAGAAGTGCTTCTGGTTTACCTGAATACTTACAACCCACTCGAGAACGGGGCAGCCTTGAGCTTAACGAAGACTTAAGGCAATCCTACAGTAGGGCGCTGCAAATAGAAAGTCTATGGAAGGAGATTACCCGCGTCAGGAAGACTTTTGCGTCCATCGAGAGCAAGTTTTTGAAATATCCTTTTACTCTCGAAGTTCGGGCCTGGATGGCAGATCGGATCGGTCACGACGCCCTTGAGCGATCCAATTTGCTCTTCACTGAGATACAGGAAAGCCTTGAACAGTGGGACCTGATAGAGCAAAAGTCGGATCTGCAGCGGCGGCGGACCTCAACAGTTTCGGAAAGGCTGCACGCCGGCGAAGCTACGAGATTTGAGAACGAAACTCAAGCTCACACGCCCCTTCTCTCCGATTTTGTAGCCAGGTCCACAGGTTGGGGTACCCAAAATGTGGTCATGAATGTCAAAGTCGGGACAAGTCATGAATGAGGCTTACAGGGGATGAGATAATGATGACGGACTTTCGGCTTGGGGTAGGCGGCTCCTTCTGCCCATCTCAAGCAAACATGTACGAGTACACCCAATCTTTCGGAGCGCAATTGTATATAACCGAGGCGGCGTGTCATTTTATCTGTATTTTTTAGGCGCCGGGACATCATCAAGATGGGAAGAGAGTAAGACCTGTTGCATACATAGAGCACAGGGCATGGATCACACCGATCCGTATCTAGCACATATTATAGAGTCACACAAATTCAAGGCATTCCAATTCGTTTGTCGTCATGCATAAAAATGATATAATCTTGCGCCGACTCTTTGGTGTCGCTTATTCCCCCCTCCACACCCTTTCTTGACATGACGTAGCGACGACACAATGGTAGGTACCTACAGGTTCCACGGCATCAACCGAGGTGCTGCTCAGCTCAACGGGGTTTTACGGCGAATTGGCTGCTAAGACCCCTCATTCATCCCGTCGCTTCCGCCTTCTCCCTCGTTATCACAGGTAGGTGGTAACTGGTACTTGCTGTGCTGAGGGTGAGGTTGTAGGAGAGACGTGAATGGTGGCCAGTGACATGTGAATCGAGAACGAAACATGATTGGCCGTTCCGTGAAGCGCGGTTGGTCTCAAAATAGCGATGTCTTGATCAATCTGTGTGCAGGGGCTTTTGTCTGGCGTTGAGCCCCGCGCCCAATCAGACGGCTCAACCCGCGACCCTGGTCCCGACTGATCTTGGATTAAGAAAGACTGTTTTCCCCCTCCTCCAGCGAGGTTTCAAGGGCATGGCGTTGCTTCGACCAGCTGGCATTTGGGGTCCTCTGTAGGGTTGCCCAGTGTCTACTAGGGGCCAGGTACCTGTACATAGGTATCGCCTAGGTACCTAGGTAATGTAGGGTTCCCCACCATCCCTCCATCCAGGCGGTTCCATTGACAGCTGGCGGCGGTTCTCGCTCGGTGGTTAGGGTAGTGGCTAGTAGCTGAGGTGGCTACTGACCTGTTGTCCAAAACCTATCCCAAGGCAGGTACTACCTAAGGCTGGGTCCGCACGATGGCGGTTTTATGGAGGGGGCTCCATCAGACTGCTCCATCAGCTCCTTCTCTCGAGTAAGAGGGTAAAAATTCGAATTCCAGGGCTCGTTCCACTGCGACCGCGACCGGAGACCGTAGCAATTGCAAAAAAAAGTCATATGAGATGCAGTTTTTGCGGCTCACCGACTTAGCAGGCGCCGACATATCGTAGTTTTGGCCTTGTTGGTGTCAGGTGACCCCCCTGTGAACTGACCTTGCGACCTGCAAAACGCACCGCCCTGCACTTGGACCCCTACATGCTCCTTGTCACTGTGGGGGGTTAGTACTTCTGAGTAATGCCGAGTGCCAGGAAACATTGCTGAGTTCTTTTTCCTTTTCTTTCATCTTCGAATTGGCTGACTGCTGCCATCCGCTCATTTTCACGTCGGTACCTGCTGGGATACCGAACCTATCATGAAGTTTGGTCGTAGGTCTGTGAAGCTCCGCCGGTCCCACCCCAAGAGGTTTTCTGTGCTCCAAAAACTGACATTTTCATCAACAGCCTTCCTCGGAATCAGGTGCCCGAGTGGGCCGCCTCTTATATCAACTATAAGGGTCTGAAGAAGATCATCAAAGGCGCATCGGAGAAGGTGAAGAATGGAGAGCAGGTGGATCCAGCAGGTGGGAGGCCTTGTCTTGGCTTTTGTCGGGGCTGACCCCATCCCCTAACTTGCCCACAGAGTTCTTTTTCGCCCTGGACCGAAATCTCGAGGATGTAGACAGCTTCTACAACAGGAAGTTTGCTGATGTTTGCCGACGGTTGAATCTGCTCAACAACCGATATGGGCGAGTCCCGGATGTGGTCGACAGCATGGACCAAGATGAGGTGGAGGAGGTAATGGGTGCCCTGTTGGACTTGCGCAACCAGCTGAGGAATCTCCAGTGGTTTGGCGAGATCAACAGGCGCGGGTTCGTCAAGATCACCAAGAAGCTCGACAAGAAGGTGCCGTCCATCACGACCCAGCATAGATATATATCCACCAAGGTGGACCCCAAGCCTTTTGCCAAAGATGGAAACATCAGCAGGCTCTTGGCTGACATTAATCGCTGGCTATCAGTTCTCGCAGATGCCCAGAATATGGACGATGCGAGATCAGATCGGTCAAACCGTTCCTTGGGCCGAGCCTCATCCAGAGCCATGGTCATTCTGCCTCAGTCCCAGCTCGATATTTTGGACCAAGCCGTTCGGAAGGACGACGTGGAAGCGCTTAAGAAGAGTCTCGAGGAGGCAAAGCTCGGAGAGGATGATTCTTTTCACACGATTTTCTTGAATCTCCTCCAGCGATCTATCTCGGCACGTTCTGAAGCTTGCATTCTTCATCTGCTGGGTCGCATCACGACTCTCGATGAACCTGAAGACATCAATAACCGCAACTGTATCCACCGACTTGTAATCCACATTGGCCGCACCAAGGCAACGTCGTCAGCTAAGGACTCGAGCACTGGTCAGGTTCCAGTTGGTGCACAGTTTAGCAATAGGCACATTCAACCCCCGGTCTCTTCTTCGGTGGCCATAAGAGCGATTAATG